TGTTTTTAAGCTTTAAAATATTATGTGTATATATATATAATATCCGGTATATAGATATAGATGTGGGTGGTTGGTCGGTGCTCTGGTGTGGTTTGCTTCTTCTTTCCTAAGAAACATCTATCGTCCTTATCTTCCCTTCTTCTTTTTTACGTTTGTTACTCTCTTTGTAACACCTCTAATCTTCTGGCGCTGATATGACCTTATGCAGTTGCGAGCGCTGTAAAACTTCTACTAAAACTAAATAGGTATAGATAGATAGATAGATAGATAGATAGATAGATAGATAGATAGATAGATAGATAGATAGATAGATAGATAGATAGATAGATATTTCAACAGGCCCAGAGAGAAAGAAAGAAAGAAAGAAAGAAAGAAAGAAAGAAAGAAAGAAAGAAAGAAAGAAAATGTCATACTTATTTTTAGTTTTTGTTAAAAATGCATGTAATGAGAGTTAGGTCTATGAGGTACTTGCAACACAATAAGAACAGGTCAGAGAAGTGTCGAAGATTAGACGTTTTAGTGTTACAAGAGAGTAACAAACATAAAACAGGAGAGAGAAGGATGACTGATAGATGTTTGATAGCAAAAATGGAGCAAACTACACTAGAGTATTCACTCAAACGATGAGAAGACATCTAATGGTGTTTGTTTGAGTAAAAAGAAGCAAGTCGACACGATATCGGACAATGGTCATTCAGAGCTGAAAAGTAAGACAGACAGACAAGAAACAACAGAGGGAAAGTTAAGAAGTAGGACCTACCAGTGGAGCCCTCCACAACCTCCCTCATTCAAAGATGTAACCAACAGCCTTTCTATACTACGTGACTTCGTGTTCCGAACTGACTCCAAATTTTTGTTCATAACCAGCAGATCGACCTTGGCAATGGTTTCAGTTGAGACCAAAAAGTTGGCTAAGATTAAAAGCTTCCACTCCTGGTACACTTTAAAGCATTACACGGTTAACGAGTAGTCGAATGCCTTTTTTTTTATAGCTGTAGTACATTTAATTACTACTTGTATGCTACCTCAAAATTACAAAGGCGGGCTTTTGTGGTCTAGAGGTTACGGTGTCTGCCCCTCTTTCAATGGGTCCCGGGTTCGAAACATGACAGCGAAGGAAACATTTTCTTTTCTAAAATTCTCCTCTTTCACCTACTTTCTTGGTCTCTAACCATGTTTTCTGTCGTCTGCTTTCGTCTCCACTTTCTACACCCCCCCCCCCCACCTTCTGACCCCTCCTCTGGACTCCTGACTCTTTCTGCAGCCTTTCTTCTGCTACTCCTTGGCTCCTTCTTTCTGACTTACTGCTGCTGTCTTTCAGCCACACCCCTGATTTTATGGTAGGTAAAATCCAACACCTTGCCTTCTCAGAAAAGGGCGAAAAATCTCGGCGGTCCCGTGTGCGAGTTGCGCACGTTAAAGATCCCTTGGTGGTCCTAAAATCGATAAAAGTAGGCTTCGGCCGCCACCCGGGCAAAATTCAAAATTCCTACCAAACTGAAAAAGTTCAATGTGTCCCGTGCGCTCATATGTCATGACCTTATGTGGTTGCGAGCGCCGTAAACCACGCACCAACAAAAAAAATATAAAAATTACAAAGTTCTTTCTGCTCGATACATGTACCTAGTTTTGAGAAATTTGACGTAAAAATCTTTGAATTCCACATCATGTCAAGCTTTTTCGAATGCAAGTCTTTAAATATCTTGAAAACGAATCCAAATAATCTTACAATTTTGATAGAGAAGACAAAACATTTGGTTCCTGACCTCATCTTAAACTAAAAACGCCCAAAAAATTTAATGTCTGAACTTTGTAAATCTTAGGCAGCGATTAGATGGAACTTTTTAGTCAATCCCTGGACGCGTCAGTGTCACCGAGTTTCGTGGAAAAAAAAAAAACTAATTTGCTCCGCCGTGCTTAAATACAGTGACAAAAGTAGAGGTTGACGATGATGACACTCCTTTCTGCGACTCAGTAATTCTAAACCAACCTAAGCCTACGCAATACCTCCATATTTGCACAGGATTGCTTCCTTTTCAGCAGAGTAGTCTACTACATGATACATCACCCATTGTGCTGAAACTCGCGTACTACATGCGATCCACAGAGTATATTGTATGTACTGTTGTGAACGTCTGGCACCATCTGAATGTAAATATGTAGTTGTGTGGTTAAAGCTACAGACTGCCTTTATTTATATCACTTATCCAAAAGTTGGTTCTATGAGCTTTATTTATAATTCATTACTACTACAATAACTCTAACACACCCTTTATCTTTCTGAAAACCTTCTCAGCTTCCTGGGAGGCTTTCAATACAACTACAAGTACAAGGCAAGCATTTGTCGAGCCTTCCACAATTCTTACATGATACTTTTACTGAGGATTTTTCTGTTTCATGGCTCTCAGACCGCCTCACAAATAATACAACTTTGTTAGCAAGGGCAGTGTCACAGTCAAAACCAATCACCACCGACCAAGCCATGAGATTCCTTTTTAACTGTTCAAGTTCAAGTGCACCACAAAGACCAGCATTCTATAATATAGTTTAAATCTTTTAAAAACTTTTAAAGACATTAATTAGGCTTGTAAGCAAGGCTTGATTTTTGCAAGCGCGTAAGTAAGACTTGACTTTTGAAAACTCTCAGTTTAGTTTTAATAGGTTTTACGGCGCTCGCAACTGCATAAGGTCACATGAGCGCCAGAAGATTAGAGGTGTTACAGGAGAGTAACAAACATTTTTTTTTTAAAAGGGGAGATAAGGACGATAGATGTTTGATAGGAAAGAAGAAGCAAACCACACCAGAGCACCCGCCAACCACCCATGAAAACTCTCACAATAAAGAGAAAAATCAGAGAGCAATAAAACAAAAACAACAGAACACCATATTAATATATACTTAAATTGATTTATTAAAATGTCTGTTGTTGTACGTTTGTGTTATGTTCAAATGTCACATAAAAGTACTGAAATGGGATGAAAGGATGACACCAAAATGAAGAATGCTAACAACAGAACTAGGAAGATTATGGAACACTGTGAAAACGATGAATACAAAAATGGTGAATGGAGATAATAATATGTATATGCTAACAACAAATATATACAAAAATAAATCTCCTATTTTGTGTTTCTCTTCAAAAATGATTTTGCCATTCAAATTCAGAGAAACTGGCAGAAATCATTTAAAAATCAAACCATTAACCCAACTAAGCCAACAGAACCAACAAGAAAGGCATTAAAACTGAATTCTGAACACGTTTAGTTGTAGAACAACCACATTGATTACCATGGCCTTTTTTTGACCTGCACGAAGAGAGATTTCCCGGAATCACTGCATTTGACAGGAACAAATTAATAATATATAGGTTGAGCCGCTGTTCACAGTGAGTTAGCACTACAACAGCCACATTTCACTATGAGCCCACTGGGATGATACAACCACTGTAAGGAAACGGAAGATGCAGGACACAACAGAGCAACTGCCCCCTCCCCAAAGGGAATCACATACACATAGAGAAGTGCAACGAGGGGAGGGGTTCATTTTTAGTTTTAGTAGAGGTTTTTCAGCACTTGCAACTGCATACGGTCATATGAGCGCCAGAAGATTAGGTGTTACATGAGAGTAACAACATAAAAAAGAAGGGGAGATAAGGACGATAGATGTTTGACAGGAAAGAAGAAGCAAACCACACCAGAGCACCCGCCAACCACCCAAGGGAGAGGTTATACATCCTACCAAAACATGTGGCTACTAGAACATCCTATTTTTCTGGAATTCTGGAAATTCCCCTGGGTAAGTGAAGCCGTTACATGATGACCAGTCTCAGCCGCCGCAACACAGCATCACCACGCTGATAGGCGCTTCTCTTACTACAAGCTGTTGGCAAAAACAGCCACGTTTTCACCTGCTTTAACTACATAAATACAACATTATATGTAACAGAAAAGTGTGCCTCTGTACATTACTGGCTGACAAAAGAACATTTGCCATTTTCTCCCAATCTTGCACAGAAAAAAGTACTATAACACAGCAGTAATAACTGGGACCATGAGTACACAGAAACAACATCACTATTTCAGGAATTTAGTTCCAAGAACTACCTGAACAAGACCCCACACAAACTTGTCTATCCAATAAAAAAGACACGATGACATGATGAACATTAGAACTTTGGGAATTACACAAATTTCCAGAAAAGCAGTACATTCTTCATACAATAAAGCGATAAGTTGTGATGACAAAAGTTACTCCCTTGGTCAAGCCATGACCAGTTTAAAAAGAAAAAAGAAAAAAAAATCACATTCAATAAAAGTTATCACACCAGTTTTTAAAAAAAAAAAAAAAAGAGAGAGAGAGAAAGGAAGAAAAATTAAAACATAAGGTAGCAAAGTGGAAAGATTTTCACGACTAACTGGCATGACATCAAATTCATTATTCTGACAACGCTGCACTTTCAGCTGACCCCTTAAACAGCATTTTATGTTCATAAAAAGACCCAACACTTTCAACGTTTCCTCCCAGATTCTGAAATAAACAATGAAAAGCAATAAGATACAATATAAATTAGAACATAGTCATAGCTCAAACATCAAAGTCTACATAAACAGTCAACGTATTCCTTTCACTCATGATCCATTACAGGTTTTTTTTAAAACAACACCTTTAATATGTCACAAACTCTTTCACACACACCCTATGCCCTTAGAATGCTGCCTTAAAAGAGCATTGAATGCAGATAAAATCCCCCCCCCCATTTTTTAAAAAGGGACAAATTGAGCTCATCCTCGGGGAGAGTTCCTTGTGCTGTAGAAAGACCATCACGTTGAGCTCACGAGTCTACTGGTTGTGAACTTAAGTGGGTTATCCTGTTTAAAGCAAACATTTCAAACTTATTTCGGAGAACCATTATGCTGTCCTCTTCGTCTATACCTAACGACACTGGCTCCTTGAATTTTCTCTCATTTTCTTTTATAAACTGTACACAGAACAGGGAACATGCTGCAACTGCTGATAATGTCTGCAAACAGAGTGATGATATGACAGGAGAGCAGTGTCTTCAATGATAATCAAAGTTGTTTCTAGGTGGCAGCTGCTAATAATATCCTACTCAGAGAGTTATCTCTGATAGAAGAGTGATTTATCAAAGTTTAATTTGAGTTGCATATTAGTATATGGCCATTGGTATGATACAGGACACGCTTCCACTGGGAACTTACCCAGACAATAGACACACTGAAAAGAGGGTAGAAAAAGCACCCATCAACCACATCGCTTTTAGAAAGAATAGGTAACCCCACCCCCCCCCACTGTTTTTAGTTGAGATACACATACACATAACATGACACTCCACAATAGCTTTACTACAACATGTGCACACCACTAACATCTATGAATTTTGTACATCATGGGAATACACAAAACACACACAAAACACTCATGGAAAACATGAACAGAAATTCCCCAAAGTGAGAGAGCTCACCCACAGTGAGAGGAGGTTCATCCTCTTCCTCCCACAGAACCTGGACAAGAACCACAGCACAAGTAGAAGAACAAACTACTGTCTCATCCGTTTTATACGTAAATGGAAAGATTTCTAAAAATATGAAGTTTGTAACACATAATAGACTTCACATATCAAGCAACAGTTTCAGCAGGATAAGAGAAAGCACATCACTAGAACTGATGTCCTATGGTACAACAGAATTTTCCCTACTTTCACACACGTAAAAATGTACAGATGATTCAAGAAAACTGCCATGCCTCAACGAGCATAACATCTCAAAAATGGAAACATAATTTGGGTTCAACAGAACAAGACATCTGGACAGAAAACAACTTGAGACCGGATCAGGGGTAGACTGCACATCCATACCGTAATCAGCTAAGGGACGGCCCATCTTTGATTTGTACACAATAATACATATGATTTCAAAAAATGCAATGCTACCACAGAAAAAGTAGCAAAGGCACATAGAGTCAGAGTAGACTTAGGAACACAGATAGATACATGTCACAGGGTACATGGAGGCAGGGTACATATTCTGAGAGGCCGAAAAAAAAAATGTCAGCATCTCTCTCGGTATATCTCTTTGGACAAATTTTAATTATGCTCACAGTCAGACTGTGCATAATGCACAAGATAACTATGAAGATTACTTTTCAAATTTCCTGCTCATCAACAAGCTCAGTGTTAATTTAGGCGCCCAAAATGGTCTTTTCTTATCCTCTCTCTGCCCTGTCCATTATCCTTGCTCCCTATTTTGAAAGAAATTCAATGGCTGTGGGCACCCCCATCCTTAAACAAATGGATACTAAACAGCTCCCAGCTGTGGACCATAGACTTATCAAATATTTGACCAAATAGATCTCGGTAACAAGCTATAGCAAAGTGAAAAGTGGAACATGTCTTTCAATCTAGTGCAGGATATCTAATGTATCTGTAACACACCTTTTATAGGTATTTTTTAGTGGGTCAGACAAATAAGAAAGATGAGAAATACAAAGTAGAAAGATATTTCTTTGCACAATGTAACCCTTAAATTATCAGAGATGTAATATACATAGAGAGAATTACAAACATCTGAACATTTGATTTCAAACCTGAATAATCAGATAAAACTGTACTTGCAACTCCTGCATGTGAAGGTCTCCTACTATTTCACAGGTTCTCAGGTTTGTAAACAAATTATGATCTGTCTAACAATGCCCGTCACAGCTTGGCAAGAGGGCGTGGAAGAGGGGGAGAGGAATGGAGGGAGAGAAAAGAGAAAGACAGATAGAGTGAGAGAGAGAGAGAGAGAGAGAGACATTGTCCCAAAAACATATACTCTTCTCAGCCATGAGTTGCATCGTCCTCCACAAAATCTTCTGCTTCCTCTTTTGTCACACACTCCACGTGACTCACCTACAAAGAGAGAAAGACACAGACTTTAGAAATGTCCGCAACAATTGCCACATTTTTGCAATATTAATATTAAGGTATATATCAAAATAAAAGTATGGCTTATATTCAGTTGAAGACCATCTGTATTCCACAGAGAAACAAATGCACAAAAAGGCATCATAAAATTTCTCTTTATTTTTCTTGAATCTAATGGAAAATCTCATCGTAAACAAATTCGAGGGGCTCTCGTAGCCTAGAGGTTAAGGTGTTCGCCTCTCATTCAAAGGTCCCCATTACAAATCAGCGTATAGTATAGACAAAAAAAATTTTTTCTCTAAAAGTGTCTCCTTTCAACTCCTGTCCTGCTATCTAGCAATGTTCTGTCGTCTGCTTTCGTCTCTACTTTCTGCCCCCACCCCCTCACTTCCTTTGCCCCTCCTCTGGGCTCCAGACTCTTTCTGTAGCCTTTCTACTGCAACTCCTTGGCTCCTTACTGCTGTCTTTCAGCCACACCCCTGATCTTCTGGTAGGAAAGATCTACACCTAGCCCTCTCGGACAAGGGTGAAAAATCTCGGAGGTCCTGTGTGCAAGTTGCACACGTTAAAGATCCCGTAGTGGTCTAAAATCGATAAGAGTAGGCTTTGGCCGCCACCTGGGCAAAATTCAAAATTCCCTACCAACTGAAAATGTTTAATGTGTCTGTATACAATTGTTTTGGATCCTCTTTAAAACAAGCCTGCCCCTTCCCATCTAACTTCAGAAAGGCCTTCCATATTTAGCTTCATCCTATCCATTTCCTGCTCCATATCATCTAATTTGCCTTTCTGGTACATTTTGCACCCAGTAGCCGGAAGACGATTGGGTACCACCTGCTGCCCGCGGCAGTCCCTACCAAGCGGGGAGTTCAGAGCTGGATCACGAACCCCTTTAACGCTGTTATCTAAGAAATTAATATTCTTTTCCATGACTGTTCTTCGGAGATTACAGCAGTGCGTTTCCCGTTGCCTACTGCTGGTTTGTGTACATTTTTCTCTGCTAGCATTTGTAATCCACTGACAACCCAAAAGCATACCTGCCAACATTGCCCCGGGCCAAAATCAGTAGTTGACATAAATTTTTGTCCAAAAATCTGTAGTTGACCTAAAAAATCTGTAGTAGGCTATATTACCACTTGCCACACACTTAATTGGGGACCCTTATCAATATTTTGACCCACATATACATGAGTGTGTTTGCGACTTCAAACAAATGTAGAAAATGACAAAGAACAAACAAAAAATAATTAGCAATGACAATGAAAAATTAAATTTTTATCCAGCTTAAATGAAAGAAGAGTAAATTCTAAGAACTGTGGTTTTAAGATTTTAAAAATCCATTCATAAATAAAAAAGTTATCCGGATTTTTTTCTTCAAAATTTTGGGGCACTTTCATATAGGAAAATATTGCCAAAAAGTGGGACGTTTCCTGATGTATTTTGAGGAAAAATTATTCATAAGTCAGTAATGAGTTGAAGTATATGAATGGAACTTGGCATCTTCAAGTGATGTTTAGTGCAGAATCTAGTTCTGCTATCCCTTTTTCGAAATTTATCTTTGGATCTTTAAGACTAATATTAAATTTGCATGAAAATGTGTTGAATTGCGCGACATCGCTTGAAATGTGGCCGATCACCCCTCTACACCTTAGCAAAGAAGTATTGGGGAAACCCGCAATGACGTCATTGGTAACATGTTTAGTTGTAGCAGTTTTAACATTGAATTACTGTAAAACCCTCTGGTTTTAGGCAGTCAATCACATGCTAGCGATCACACACCTCTTGCATGCCAGCAACTCGCGTGTTGGGTCTATGATCTAGTTTCCAGCTCTAGTGTTTTATCAATGGATGGGTGGTAATTTTAAATTGGTACGTAAAGTGTCGGCCTACTACACACAAAGATCTGAAATTTTAGAGCAATAAAGAAGACACGTGTGTCGCTTGTCGGTGGCTTATCTCTCAAAATCGGTGGATCGGCAGTTTGACCAAACAGTCGATAATATACCAAATTTTTCTGTAGGGTTGGCAGATATGCACAAGGCAGTGGGGGAGGGGGGGCTTTGGTAGGGTTATGGCGCCTCCTGTTGCCTAGATGGTCCCTTCTTCGAGTGTGTGAGGTATTTATTGAAGCACCTGTGCCACCAGAGTTCTCCTCTACTCTCCACGACCATCTCCCATTTGGTTTGCAACTGCTTAGCAGCTAACCTCCATATCAGGAGGCCTTTCCCCTATCCACCACCTGGGGACGTGCTGGGTTGGGTATGAGGACCCAATATTAAATCTTAGTACTTCCCAAGTAAAAATATATAGATATAATTTACTATTCCCCACCCGATGAAAGACACACCCTTTAGCTAAAAAACAAGGCTTACAAGGTATGGCAGATCCCGATTCCACACACAAGGCCTGCACCAACACACGCTTTGCAGAGAGCTCAAGTAATAATTAAAATTCTAAATACTAAAATTTCTCCAACAGACCCCCCCATCTTTTTTTATAAAATCGATAATCCCCCGCTCCAGAGTTTATTACTTCGCAACGGTCAAGACTTTGAACGAACTTTGGTGACCCCAACAATCACCGTTACTCACAATGTGATGCAAACGTGTAGGTTCACTGACTGGTCGCAATGGCGAGCCTGACAAGACACCTGTATAACTTTTTTTTTTTTTTGCAAGTGATAACACAGGACATGATTTATTTTCATGGCGACACAGCGTTTATAATGCACTACCTGCATGTTACAAAAGTTGCGTTATCAGACTATTACCGGTAAATTTCTGGGTGGTACGAAAGCGAAAGTAGATCTTGATTTTCCAGATCGAGCCTGGGTATCACATACATTTCCGCTTGCCGCCACAGCCGCCTGTTCGCCTGAAACGTACTCTCGGACTGGAAAAAGCCGAATTAATATCACAATCCTGACCGGCAAAAATGAACTAAGGACATTATCGGATTTGTTTTTCTAATATTCGAGAACTTTTATGCATTCTCTCTTTACAGATTTCCTCAAATTCCCTGAGCATTCCCAGGTCTCTGCAATTTTTTTCAAATTCCTGGGGCACCCGTGATTCCCGAAGCCTGGCAGTCACCCTGTTAAATCATTTAAATTGTGTTGATGGGGGCATAAAAACATTTATATTAAATGAATTAATTATTAACACCACTTACTTTATTCCTGAATTTGACACCGTAGAACTTGTCAGCATGTTGCAACAACTCTGGTCTGAAGGTAGTGGTGATGAACTGAGCATCCTGAGCTAGCTCGTGAATCATATCTGTGTAAAAAAAAAAAAGGCAGTGATGGTGAAAAGAATTCTTTAATAAAATAAGACTGTCGGGTTAACTAAAAAGCAGAAAGAAAACAAAACTTTGGTTATGTCATTTAGAGCTCAAAAGGAGTGAAATGACAACAGCCACAAACATAATGAAAATCTTAAATTTGCCTACCACAGAATTTCAGACAGGGACATTATCCACACAAAACAAGTCCAAACAGCCCACCTGCCACAGCTTTTCTGTGGGACGAGTCCAGAGCCTGGTCAATCTCATCAAAGAGGTAGAACGGAGCGGGATCACATTTTTGGATGGCAAAGATGAGGGTCAGGGCTACCAAGGACTTCTGGCCTCCTGACAGCTGCTGCATGTCTCTCATCTCCGCTTTGTTGCCCGTGAAGGAAACCTGAACGACAAATCATCACACGCTTGAAAATACACATACATCTTCTTATGCATATCTTTAAAAGAAGCAATTCTCCAACCAAACAGGTGTGAAAAGTAAGTGGGTGAACAAAAAAAGAAACAAAACTAACCTTTACAAAGTACACGAGGAGGTAAGGGATATGGATTTTTTATTTTTTTTATTTTTTATCAGTTGTTTTCAAATTATTCTTTAAACAGCTTAGATTCAAATCATCTATCACAATAGAATAAGTGTACACACAAGTAGTTACAAAAAAAAAAGTTTTAAAAAAAAGTAAACAATAAAAAAAATTAATCATGACAATAGTGATGACAACAAATAACAAACAATGCTTGTACAGTATTTAAGAAAGTGCAACAAGTCAACTTTCTTACCTTAATTCCCACACCAGTGAACTGCTCCACAAGAGGTATCTCTTCCTCTGCACCCTGTATGAAATAATACTTGAAATCAAGATCTGACACATCAATTCACATGAAAATATTTGTAATAATATATTTTACAGTAAAAGATTATATCTCAAATTGCCAACAATGTTTGCTCTGCGTCAGTATCTTTCTCAAGTAAAAAGAAAAGTAAAAAATTCAAATTATGTAAACTCTCTCTATATATATGGTGGGGGGAAAAGAAATCTGAACGATAAAGACCCCACTCAATGACAAAAAAAAAAGTTTTCCTCAGAATACTCTGAAAAAATAGGCATTTGGAAAAAAAAGCCTCCAGAAAGAACCCCAGTAGATAAAATATGTACCAAATAAATGCTTATTAAAATATGTATTTCCATGTTATATACAATAAGTCGCATAAACCAGACAGACATGAAAATCCAGGGGAAAAAAAATCAAATTTCGTGCAAACCTAGTTGGGTTCTTTGACGAGCAAAAATTTTTTTTTAAATCCAAGAGCTCTGATTTTATAGAACAAAGCAGATCTGTGAATATTCCAAACACACACCACACTCCCTCTCACTCCAAGAAAGAGAAACAGTTTGTTCCCAATTCCTTCACAAACAACTTACATCTCCCTCAATTTCTCCTTTCTTCATCACAAGCACTCCATGACCCTGAGGGACCAGTTTCTTGAAGATCTCACTGAAGTAACGGGACACCTGGGAACCACAAAAGACAAATGCTTCAAGTACACATCAAAAGTGTTCAGCTTCTAGTTACAGACACATAACCATTGCAAGTGGGTGAGAGGAAAGACCAGGATAACAATATAGTTCAAGACCTGGTTCTTGAAGAAAATAAAAAAGACCAAGAAACAATGGATGTTCATGAACATTGCAGTGATATCTAATAATAGAACATGAAAAATATAACATGATACATAAAATAGAACACAAACAAAAATCCTTATGATCTGCTTTTCTCCCCTATTGAACCCAAGTCAACCCTCAACCCGCAGCATTTTGTTTCCTAGGTATACAAAAAATTAACCAACAAAATTCAGACTAGTTCTCACTAAATGAAAAGAAGAGGCTGTTGTTCTAAACAGGTACCAGGAACCAACAGCCAATTTTTTATATATTTTTTAAAAGGAAAACACCTTGTTTCAATTTGAAGTCATTTTTTGTTCCTCATGAACCAAATTTCTTACTGTCTGTACAGATGACAATAAGCAACAAGGAAATGTCCGGACATATTATTCCACTACTCGCAATAAAGCTACATTTAACATTTCCTACCACTTTAAAAGTAAATGACGGAACTTCAAATTTTAGAAGGGTTTCTTTTCTATGAATTATGCGCATATCAATTTATGAATTTTCTAACTCTTACCTGTTTGAAAGTGAGCTGAATCGCCTCATATTTCCGATGATCCAAAGCCTTCATCAAATCAATGATGGACTGAAAAAAATTGAAAGTAAAAAGATAATTAACGTGAAAAATGACAGAAGGACCCCTGGTGAAAATAGAACATGAAAATAAATTATAGCAGTCTTTATTAGTATTCATGTCCAGAAAATACACCATGAAGACACAGTATGTAGTGTAAACTGACAATCATGTCGAATCTTACCTGCTGGGCACTGTCAAGCTCTTCCTTCCTTTTCATCAGCTTTTCCTTTTGGTCAGAGAAGTTGACAAACTGATCCAGGGCCTTCTTATTCACATGGCTGTACTTCTTCAGCTGCTGGTTACAACTTTCCAACTTCTTGAACAACTGTTGAATCAATGATCATTGAGAGTGAGATGCTTGAAAACAGAATTTGCTAAACTAGTCAAAAGCAAATTTTGTCAACATATTCAATAAAGCTCTTCAAAATTGACACTTTTTTTTGTGTGGTCTATCTTTGACAGACCAGCACAGACCCATTTCATCTTTCTTAAAAATTGCCACATGTACACTAAACACAATACAAACAGCGACGAACATTTTCTGGCTTGGTACAAAATCCTGGAACTCTGGTAACTAAAGGAAAAGTTTAACTTAAGCATACATAATAATGACATAGTGCACAGCAAATACTGAGATCATAACATCACTTGCTCAATGCACCGTCATGATAAAATCATCAAAAGTACTTGACAGATACAATAATGTTTCCTTACCTGTTTTAGACTCATGTTCTGGTACTTTTCGAAAGCATCTGAAGGTAATGATCCCAAATCTCTGATTTTCTTCATGCAGTCCTCTTTCTGTAGCGGACAAAACAAACCATTTATTTAGCAATGGCGGAACACATGAAGAAGAAAAAAATTCTGACACACAATAAGGCTATCCAGCCAGAGTAATGAGACAAAATGCTATCCAATGTAAAAACACTTATTGAGTGTGGGTGATTGGCGGGTGCTCTGGTGTGGTTTGCTTCTTCTTTCCTATCAAACATCTATCGTCCTTATCTCCCCTCCTTCTTTTTTATATTTGTTTCTCTCTTGTAACAGCTCTAATCTTCTGGCGTTCATATGACCTTATGCAGTTGAAAGCGCCGTAAAACCTCTACTAAAACAAACAAACTTATTGAGTAAAGAAAGTTAACCATACATAAAACAGTTTTTGAAATCCCACATTAAAACATCAACCTCTGGAACATACCAACAAATATATTCCCCCTGAAAAAATTAACCAAACAATTGTAACAACATTGTTTTGTTGCATTTGTCCAAGAAAAATGAAATCAATGAATCAATAAAGACAGCGAAAAACAAAATAAATAAATAGCACAGACCTTCTTAATAAGAAGACTTTGTTTTTGTGAGATCTTGTCCAATTCTTTTGCATCTTCTCCAATCTTGTCCTGAATATCTCGTTCTTTACCCTGAAGCACCAAGACAGGGAGAATATTATCAAATAACTACAATTTAATTAAAACATTTACATAAACCATTTAAAAAATCTTTCATACCAACATCTTTCCAAGCAATAACACAAAAATTAAGAAAGCACACTGGAAGACTTCTCTCATTACGACTCCAAAGAGGGGAATTGGGAGATAACAAGTATGATATCGACAAAAGATAACACAATTTTATGGAACCAAAAAAAAAGAGAAAACTAAAAATAATGGAAAGGACATAGAAAATGAAAAGTAAATTTAGTTTTTTTTAAACTCCCAAGCATAACATATGAGCCAAACCGAGACATCAAAACAGTGAGTCCATCCGAGTATAATCCCAGCCTTGTTAGCAAATGTTCATAATAATCACATTCTTGTTGCACTCATCCTTAGTCTTCACATTTTCATATAAAGTTCACGAGTGCAAGATCAGAGAAGAAAGGGTATGATGCATCAAATTTTGACAACATGAGATTGTGAACCAGCTCAAGCTTTGCTACATTTTAAAAAGTGAAATTGACAAAAATTGGCTAGATGGTCTAGAGGCAACCAAGTACGTACTGCAATTAGGGGCTCAGATTCAACACTGAAAGCATGTTACAGGAGCATAACGACTGAAATTTAGGGATCAAAAAGTGGTAGAGAGTGAAATTGTTATCCAATGTCAACATGCCTTTTTTTAAAAACAAAACCATGTCAAACCACACAAATTCAAGTAATGCACACACAAGGGTTTACCTAAAATATAGACGTAAAATAAGTTCAAGCTATTAGAAAATAAACAACCCTTTCTAAAGTTGTGTAACCTTTCAGAATTGGTTCAGCATAATGTGTAACTTTGTTCTGTTTTATATTAACTTAAAAGACAGGTAAAACAGTCAATATGACAGGAACAAAGAAAAGTGGGCATAGTGGACTTGAAGTAGACAACAGATGAATGACCTGTCACTAAAGCGTAAAAGTGAACAAAATTAGAGTTATATATTTCTGGTGGAAATGACCACGTATAGACACATACCCGCCACGTTTCCAGGTTCATTTGCATTTCTTTCTGCTCCTTGTTTAACCTTTCAACACTCGAATCAACCTCTGGAACACAGAGATACAAGGGACAGTTACAAAATTTGAAACAAGTTAATAAAACCTCTGCATAAGCTACAAAAATGGTACAATAGTAGGTCATACGGTAGGTACATTACCAGGATCTTCGAAAAAAGCATTAGGTCTTTGAACCAGAAGCAACATCACAGGGATACTCCCCTTCTTTAACAGTTTTTAGAATCTGAAAGTAAGCTAAAAAGTTATTTCTCAGGTAGAGACACTTGAGCATGAAGAATTTGGAGAATCACAATCTTGAGAAAAATAGCATTCAAATTTTGACTGGAAACAGTGAGTCAAACTGTTGATCAACTTAACAATTCCAATTCACATTCCACATAAGTTAAGTAACATTCTTACATTTATAAATACAGTAAGCCCCCCCCCCCCCCCCCCCCCCCCCACACACATATTTTAGGGTGCTTGAATATTTAGCAGTCAAAACCAAATGCTGGTTGTCTGGCGTTCTTTTTGTCAGAGTGGAAGTCAAGGCATCAATTTCACTAATAGAAAAAACCATTATGAAGATAAAAATTGTTTCTTTGAAACTTAATTCAACAAAAGCATTGTACAACTTGCTCTCACAGGAAAAATAGAAAAGCAAAGGTAGACCAAGAAAAACTTACCTTACAGAACTTAACAGAAGGATAACAGGAAAAAACTAGAATAAAGTATCTTTATTCAGAGCATCAGAGCAGAAAAATAAGTGGTGAACCATGACGGCTATTCTAGATCTGGCACTTAAAGAAGAAGAAAGGGAGAGGAAAAGTCGTGGCTAACCTGTTGTCGAGGCATCAAGCTCAGCCATGCGTTTCTCCACCTCCTCTTTATCCGACTTGAAGCCACTCAGACGCTTATCTTGTTCCTCCAGGCTGACCTCCCTCAGTTCCTGCTGCAGTCGCTCCCGCTTCTTGGTCAGGTTATTGTTCAGCACATTCTCCAGCTTGTTCTTTTCTGTCTCCAACTGCAAAAGACGCATAAATTGTCGCTTTAAGTATGCAAGATACCGATTTTATACAAAAGAGTAAACTAATCTGATACTCAGCCCCCCCCCCCCCCCCCCCACCCACACACACAATGTCGCATAAAGTTCACTTTTGATTGCTGAAAGTATGCTTGCTTTAGAATCTGTGAACCAAAGGAAATAATGAAAAGGACAAATACAATTCACAAGATATCAGTTAATCAAACCCAGACCAGGAGATTTGAGAATCAAATACAGCTTTCACCATTTCAGCACATGTTGACTCCGACTGTAACAATGAACAAACTAGTACTTTATAACTGCAAGAGAAAAATGAAGTGAAAGAGGAGGGTGTGTGTAAGAACAGGAAGAAAGAAGAAAGAAAATGAAAAGGATGTGGCAGAAGAAAGATAACGGGGGAAGAAAAAAAAGGTGGGAGGGAAAGGAAAGGAAAGTGCAAGCACAGGAAAAATAAATAACAAACAAAAAGTAGGAAAGAGGTGGAAGAGAAACAAAAGAGATCAGAAACAATGAGTCCATCCCCAGCATATCCCCATAAAGTAGAACAAAAAGGAAGGAAGAAGGAAGAAAATGATGGAGGAAAAACTTTCAGAAGTATGAAGATTTTAAAGGGAGGAAGAGAAGGAGACCAGCACTCTGGACACCCAAAGACATTATCTGTAATAAAGGGGAGGGGGAGGGGGAATGGAAGGGGGAGGGGGAGAGAGAGAGAGAGAGAGAGAGAGAGAGAGAGAGAGAGAGAGAGAGAGAGAGAGAGGGGGGGGGAGAGAGAGAGAGAGAGGAGAGAGAGAGAGAGAGAGAGAGAGAGAGAGAGAGAGAGAGAGAGAGAGAGAGAGAGAGAGAGAGAGAGAGAGAGAGAGACAGACAGACAGACAGACAGACAGACAGACAGACAGAGAGAGAGGAGGGAGGGGGGCATGTACACACATGAAGGGACAGATCACCCACCTTGATGCGCTCCTGCCAGGCCTGTCTGTTCTCTTGAGTGAGTTTGTTAATCTGGTCATTGAGGAAGTCCACCTGCCTTTGGTCTTCCACACTAAGCTGAGACTGCAGCTCGGTGCCCAGTTCTTCCTTCAATGCATCCGCCTGGCCCTTCATGGCCTGAAGGCTAGACTCCAGACTAGCAGCACTCTTGCCCTGGAAAAGAACACGCCATCAGACCAGTTCCTTGTACAGTCCAATGATTTTGTGATGAAAACATTTGCTATTCAATTTATATATTCCTTTTAAAAACAGCTTTTAGTTCCAATCCTTCGAAGTGAGAAATATCTTACAAATTTTTTTTCTTTCTGGCATACATGCATTAAAAAATGCAGACAGTATAGCAATAAATACCATGGTCAGACACTAAACAATTTGTTTCAAACCTTCAACTGGCCGACGAGTGCCGTCAAATTCATTGTTATGATTTCCCTCAAGATGTACCAAATCAGGGGTAGACCAGATAATCACACAACATATTTTACTATCATTAACCCCTGTACAGTAAAGTTTTCAGTAGACTAAAGGCACAAGACAAAGATGATTACTCACTCTGGATGGTTGCGTGTTCTGTAGCGTTGACAATTCCTCTTTCTTTATTCTCAAATCTGTCTGAACCTTTTCATAAGCATCTCTGAGAATTTTAAAAAAACATTAACACTTTTACTCTATAGCAAGAACAAATCTTTACAGAACATGTTTGAATTGATGCATAGCAAGGGCATTACAGTTAATTCACACTGGGGGAGTAAAATCTCAGGAGGAATAGAATCCCAAACCGATCGACGGCTGTAATTACTACTTCTACAACTCAGTACGTACTTTACCAGAGAATCTGAAAAGACAGGTTTTCCTCACACAAAGTCCAAATGAGAATTGATGCTGAACCACTCATTAATATTCTGTTGTTCACATAACCCCATAATGCAACACTAAAAATGTGCTACAGGAGAATTTTCAATATTTTTTAAACATATACATAAGAAAATGTTTATTTTGTCAAATCATGGATTCAGTTTTTTAAATTAAGTTTCAAGTTCTTACACTTTCGAATTACAGTCGAACCTGTGTAAGACAGAATCGAAAGGGAACCAGAAAAAAATTACATCTTAGACAGGGGAATTTATTGGGGGGGGGGGGTCCAAAGGCCCAGCAGGTGGGATCAAGGATCGCTTGCCCGGCCGGCAAGCAATCACAAGAGATCAAAACTTGACACCTCTCAGCTATGATCCTCTCTGATAATGACATGCGTCAGTCTTATTTATCCAATTACCACCAGTGCTTGCATTTCATAGGACCACTGTTTGACCCATTAAAAACAAACGTTTGAACATCTTTGCTTTCACCCTTAGCCCCAGCCCCACCAATCGGTGTAATAAGCAGTCAACCAATGCCACCCCTCACTGCCATGTAACAACTCTTCTCAGCTGGCTGATGTACGATCAGGGCGGCAAGCATTGATCAATCTAATTTCACACCTCTAACCAAGGAAAGTTTCCATGCTGGAGTGCCACACGAGCACTTTCACTGGCACTCGTGAGATTTCACACCCACACCATCCTGACCATCTTCATTGCTCAGGGCTCACATAGATGGGGTGACAACTATCCTCAAATTACACCCCTACTCCCCTTCCTCGCCCAGCAGCATAGCGTAAAGTTTAGAACCGGCGGACAGAACCAAACTTGCAACTTTTGTTTCTGATCAGGACTGAACGGGCAAAACATTTTCCATCTTACACAGGTAAAACCCCCGGAAGTGAGCAGATTTTTCTTTCCGTTTCTGCATTGGACAGGTTTCCGTTTTATACAGATAATTAAAGAGGAGTATATCAAGGGGGGAGCTGGGAGATTCCACTAAGACAGGTTTCCGTTTTACACAGGTTTCCGTTAAGGCAGGTTCGACTGTATTCACCGACTTAAAACCAGTTCCAAGTGGGAGAAACCTTGGCAGCAAAATGGTATAGTATTGTCAACTACGATATTGGTATCATACAAGTAGGTACTCCAAGTTTTATTAAAAATCATTAAAGTACAACAGAATGAAATCAACAGAAGACAGTCACAATTCACTCGCTCCAAGGGTGGTCTCTTGAAGAAGAAATTAGTTTCTGGTCTACAAAATGTTAACTCTATTAAAACAACTGCATAAGGAATATCACATAAAAAACACAAAACTCTGTAAAGTTAATAAACATCATCTTCTTACTTTGAGATGCAACAAGCCTACATAAACCAATCAATCAGCCCACTGTCAGCTTACAACGCGTGCACAAGACTTGCCACCCACACAGAGTATACCAGTGAGAATACACCATAAACGTACTTATTTTTGCTGTTTTTGGTCTCCAACCTCTGCATCTCGGACAAGAGGTTGGTGATGTACTGCTCCACTTTCTCAAGCTCCACCCGGTGGCTCTGGTACTCCACCTCCTGTGTCTGTTTCAGGGTGGTCAGCTCTACCTTGCTCTTCTGGAGATCCAGGCGAGACCTTCGAGTGTCATAGTAGCCTCCTGTTAGAGCACCTCGTCTGCTGACCTGGTCACCTGGTAGCAAAATGGACATACCAAACACCGAATTGTCAAAGAATTTTAATTCACAATGAGAGTCAGAACAATGGCTGTATTTCGCCTGGAACAGAATTATAAATAATAAGACGAATAAGCAGACCGGAAAGAATCTTTACCAGCCACCCATGTATTAAGTATTGAACATGTGAAGGAATAAAATAAATAAAGCAATCTCTTGATGGAGCATTCTGCTGACTTAGCAATTATATACAATAAGACAAAAATGGTACATTATTAAAACAAATTAACGATACAATATGTCAAAAGCAAGTGTAAGTATGCACCTCTGGTTTCTTTTGTACCATAATATGAGAAAGAATAACAGCTTTGATACTTAGCTGCTAATCCTACATGGAAAGAAAAATGCATTCACTTATATTCCTTATGTAATCAAGCTTCTCAGAACTTGCAGCATTTACAAAAATTATATTCTGAATATGCCTTACCTTCTAATGTGATGCAGTCCAGGTTTTGCGTTCTGGCAAACTGAGTAGCTACCTCCATACTCCTTGCTATTAAAGTTTTCCCAAAGACGTGTTTCATTGCTGCTTCATACTTTTTCTCGTACTCAAGCTTGTGGATCATGGCAGCTGCATCCTAAAACACAGCAAGAACATTAAAAAAATGCCACTATAGTGGAATTGTTTCTTAACAATTTGAAATTATGTAACAAAAAGGGAGTGAAAGGGAGGGGGGAGCGAGGGAGAGGGACAGAGGGAGAGGGAGAGGGACAGAGGGACAGAGGGAGAGGGAGAGGGAGAGGGAGAGGGAGAGGGAGAGGGAGAGGGAGAGGGAGAGGGAGAGAGAGAGAGAGAGAGAGAGAGAGAGAGAGAGAGAGAGAGAGAGAGAGAGAGAGAGAATCAAATATGGAAGAACGTCACACACAAAAAAGTGTGACATACTAAATGTCTTTCATGTACTATTACTTCCAGTACAAAATAAGCATGAAGCTTTAGCTCCCAATATGACAAGACCACTTACTGAAGTGTTTGGATAATGAGTGTCCCGGTTTTCTAATCTGTTCAAAGGCATGAATGTGACTTCTCCGGGCAGGTGCATGCGATTCATTTCTTTCAGCAGTATGGTGCCAGTGCGATCTGTATCCACAATGTGATGAAACAACCTGAAACAAAAAGACAAGTTTAAAAGAAAAAATATGCATTTCTCCTCCATAGGGGGAGGGGGGGTAAGAGGTTACAGATGATAAAGTGCAGTGTTAAAGATTTTTTTTCCATCAGTAATATAACAAATTGCCCACCTCTCAACCCCATTCATTTAGTTGGTGAACAAAATATATATTCTGCTTGTCTTACAAATCAGTTGTGTTTATTTTATAGAGAGTAAAGATATTCCTAGCATATGAATGCATGCAGTCACCTTTCTAACAAAGCTTGATTTTAGTCAACAATACATCTTATTGTTAAAAATAAAGCAAAATAAAGCAAACAATGACAAAATACAGAATAAAACTTCTACAGATATGCTATTTACGGTACAACAAAAAATGTAACACAAATTATTGGAATAGGCCTAACATACAATAAACATACCCCCAAAAAAGTTGTACAAACCTTGAACCAGCTGTGACCTCCACACTTGTGTAGTAGACTTTATCGCACTGAAAAGCTTCAATAAGCAGACCATGATAGCCATTAATGACTTCTGGATACTTGTTCTGTTCCCTGAATGATTGCAGTACTTTCTGTATGCTGTCAATACCATTCAACATGCCCTAAAGAGAAAAGACAAAAGGAAAGGAGGTGGAGAAGTCGAAAAAATAAACACAATTTAAATTTGTAATCAAACTTCAATACCGTAATTCAGACATTATCATCACCACAGCTTATCATATGGGGCCATACTTACAACAGGACATTATTTCATTAAGTGCAGCAACAATAGACAACTTTTTTTCACTCCCAACTAAAGACAGTAACAAGAATGTAACAAAACATACTATGCCTACACAGAAAAGCAAAAAGTTTAATTTCGAAATTCCCAATGCAGAAGAAAGACATGCTTAAACCCTTAACCTTAAGATCATCACTAGAATGCCTTCCAGTAATAAATGGTTGTTCATTCCACCCCATGTAACATTAAATTGAAAATCAACATAAAAAGTACCTTAACCCCTTCAATGCCGGAAGTAAATAGGCCCCTGTGCCGAGGGAAATCCCTTGAACCAAAGCTGCTCAAGGGTGACCCCACTGTATCTCCAATAACTTTTCTTTTTATGAATATTTCCTCATGAATTTCTGCAGGTACATTCTACATTGAATCACATTTCTATTGACATAATTTTTGGTGGAATCTCATCGAGAGACAGATGGAGAATAGTTGGGAGTTAGTAACATGATGCCAAAAAACAACACCATCAGACAACATAAACGTACATTCGAGTAATGATGAACTGAAACCCAAAAAGAGGAATACATGTGCGAGTGTTTGCAAATAAAGAGGAAGTGATAAGAGGCTTTTTCTACATTATAAAACGTTCTTACAATTCATATATATACATACATACATGTAAGAGCCCATCTGGGTTTACTGCCAGAAAATCATTTTTGCGTGGCAGATGTGTTTGATCTAGATCTAATCTTCTCTTCGAGCTAAAATCTGAATCGGACGTTTTCGGGGGGGAGAAGGAAAACATCAAGGGAAGGTACCTCAATAGAAATTACTAGATTTTAGAAGTAACTTCCCTTATAATTGGTATCAAATCAACTCTGTCAGTCCCGTAAATTCTATGGGCCATAGGCACAGCGCTACATGGTTCAGGCCCGTAAATTCTACGAGCACGGCAGCGAAGAGGAAACGAGCTGAATTCATCATTTTATTGAAGAGCAAAAGTAGGGAATATAAATTTGTTTTAACAAAAGGCAAATATTCAGTCCCTGCCATCCACTTTAACCATTTTCTCTACAAATGAGAAGAAAAAATAACTGTAGTTAGTAAAGAGACATCACAAGGAAACTAACTTTGCCAGTGAGAGATCTCAGCCCTTGTAACCTCTTGTTCAATTCCTCAGTGGTCGTACTCAGCTGTTGCTGTAGTGTGTTCTCCTGTCGCCACAAAGTACTGAGGACAAAAAAAAAAGGCAACACACACCTTAATAAATAATTGTGTTATATAAAATAAAATATTTACACACTGAGAATGTACAAAGTACTGCTGCCTGTAGCAAGACTGGTTCAAATGAACTTAAAAATTCTAGAGCAGATGCTACGCAAAAAGGATTGGAATGATTCAGTTAGCCAGTCAAGATCCCTTCTTACCCCCTGTATATATAGAAAGACACACTTGTACACATAAAAACTATCATTACTTATTTCAAAGGTCATTGGATGAATTGTTGGTCTCACATCCTCTTCTCAACTACTCTCCTGAAATCTACATCTGATCAAGATAAAATCAATATGGGTCATTGCTGCAGAATCAGGCACTCATCAAATTTTAGTGAACGGAGAAACCAGTATCTGATTGTTAGCGATTTTTATCGGAAATGAGTTTTTTTGGCCCAGAAACCTTTTTCATCCATTTAAGAACATATTTTCAGGTGATTTTTACTGAAAAAATACTGTTTTCCTATTGACACCTGTGTTGAAACTACTATTCAATTCGAAGGTCATGAAACTGACTTTACAACTTCTTTACTGAATACAAATCTAGGTTTAATTTGTATGTCTTTTGAAACAAGTAAATAGTTTTCTGAAAATGCAAACAGGAAACACCAACAATGATCCTATTATATCGCCACCGCAATCCTACAAAGTGCTCAGTTTTACATTCACTGTAAGGGTGAACAGGTGTGAAATCTTGAGATATTTTAATTTACAAAACTATGCTTGGACTAACACTCTTATCTAAAAAGAAAAATTTTAAGATTCAGTTTTCCTGAATTCTACTGACTACTGGATGTTGAAGAAAGAAATGATAGTCACCATAAAAAATCTACCAGAAGTAACATCAAAAGTGACCCCTTCCAAGTAAATGAACCAAATATTTTTTTTACGCATCTACCCTAACCAACAATAAAAATCAAACACTCACTTTCTTTTATTCTGTTGTGAATCTTTATCAGCTTTCATTTCTGAAAACCGCCTGTTGTTATCTTCAATACCTTCTTTTCGGTTTTCCAGATCTTGCTCTAGATCCTGCCGACAAAAGTAACAGAAAAAAACAACATGAAATGAGTAATGGTGTTCAGTGTCAATAATTCAGGACTGGTTGACAAGATAAAGGTTTGATCATGTTCATAACAGACCCATCCCTACAGGACAAAAAGTTATGGAAAAACAATTTTAAAATTCTATAAGATTTAGAGAGAGAGGAAGTATCTTTATCATGAATCTAATGTGTTTTAGTTTGGGAGGAATTGAGAAAGTAATGTCTGGCCATGGGAGTTAAAGTGAAGATGTCATGTGAACTTTTCAAAGGAAGGTAGACATCCGCTATTCATAAGACCAAATTTAGTGGAGATGAGGTATCAAATAAAATTACAAAGTATTCACATAAAGAAGACCCTGAAATACTGGCCAGCAACATCAGAGAGAAAAGGACTAAAGATTTGCTCTTTGCAAACTGGAATACCACTCTTCATCGAACTGATAGAAGACACATTATACGTTGTGCTCATTGGAGGATTGATTCTGTTTGGTTTCTGGCGGTTCCAGAGCACACTATAAAAATGCTCCTTCCTCAAACCAATCGCTCAACTCGCAGCCTTCAAATCAAACGCATTTGTTCTTTGTGGTCATCATCAGATTCATTACGCTTGTGCAACGATGGCAGCTTTTCTACCACCGAGGCAGAAATCTGGCTAGCCCCAACGACCAAACCAAACCGTAACAGAATTGCCAATGGGCAACGGGTATTTTTTTTTTTTCAGTTCAAGAGATTCTTTTCCCCCTTTGCCTATCAGAAACTACAAGCTAAGTTAGAAGGAATTTTTCACTTTTAAACTTTTAAAATGTTTTCTCAGTTTTGGGCTGGAACAAGTTTAGAACTTTATCACAAGAAGGTAGTCTGGGCCAACATAGATCTATTCTTCTTCGATGGTCAACTTCCATGGAGCCTTAAAAACTTGTAACGTGAACACAGGACAATGAGTTTTTTTTGTCCTTATCTGAGAAGATGCAAACCACAATATGTCGGGTGGGAGGAATCTGACCTCTCCCCCAGTCATCCACTGATCATGGAGTGAACAAGCTACTGTACTGGTATGACATATGGGAGCCAAGCAGCACAATACCATTTACACAAACTCTGGAGAGTTAAGAGATTAATTCAAGTTGCTTACCGCAATCTCTTTCTGAAGGTTAGCTGTTTGTCCTTGGCCTTGTTGCTGAGCATCTCGTAACCTTGAAATCTGAAGAAAAACAGAAACAAAAATACATAAATTAGTAAATGTCTATTGGAAGTCACTTCAAATTCTCTAACCCTTCAAGTGCAAGGACTATGATTAGCAAGCAAAGCTCAAAAGTATAGAAGTAGTTGGAAGCTACAGAGATATATCAGGTGCTCGTCAATTTTTCGCCTGTGGAGTTCTTGGCACCATCTTAAAGCTTGTTCACTTGTCTTCTTTATTTATGAAAAAAATTCCTGGATATTTTTAAATAGAAATTGAGATATTTGCAATTGAAGGAGATGGAGATCGCATGGTCTCAGAGAAAAAGGCCGCAAAAGTTTGGTGACTTCCATAGCTTGAGTCCTTGGGAACTGAAAATTTACATTTTTGTGCATTTTAGCAATGTTTTTCAGTAAAATCCACACAGAAATGTGTTTTTATGGACATAAAAGGCGTTGAGCCAAAAACACAAAATTTCGATAAAAATTGCCATACCTATGTAAAATGCCAGTTTCTTCAATTGTATTATTTTGATTAGTGCCTGGTTTCACCCCTATGCCTCACATATGGGAATGCAACAACCTCTAGCAAAAGGCAACTGACGCGTTATTTTTTTCCACAAGTTTATTTATTCTGATCACCGTAATCCCTCTCACTTAAGCATTTTGAGCCGAAGCCACCAGAACACCGCCGCCAGGTAAAATTACCCGTATGCCTAGCCACAGGTACAGCAGTGAGCCAGGCCCTATCCCCAACCCGGCCTGTCTGGGACAAAAAGCGCACAAAATAGTGTTTACCTCATAGAACAATATTGACTATTTTGAAGATTGTTCTGTATTAGATCCTGGTTAGGACAAGAACTACCCTGAGTGGGATATGGAATGTGATTCTGACGATTATATGAATGTAAGTAATATATCTCTCAGGAGCTTAGGCAGAGTCTGGGTCAAAGGGTAAAATTTCAGATGTATGATGATGATGCTGCTGTTAAAATAGCTCTGGTGTGCACACTCACATGGGTGTGCATACTTGCACAAATGTAAATGTGCCTGAGAGTTGAGTGAAAGTAGGACATGGTGAACATCTTGGGATAGAGAAGAAAATTCAAACATTGTTCTCCTGCCCTCTATGTAATTGCCTTGAGAGAGATATTTCTTCCATTCTAAAACCTGACAAACTCTCTAAAAGTAAAAAAGAAAAGTTTAATGCCCCTTTCAACACTGTAAGACTGCAAGAATGACATCTGGAACTAATTCCAATACCTATAATAGCTTGACAGAACAATATTATTCATTGCTATGAAACACAGAGTCTTGTTCATATAAACACAGTAACATTTGTATTAACACTGGTCAGCGCATCCTAAATATTCTACAGAAATTACAATTTAAGTTCTGAAAAATTGTTTTTAAAACTTTGCAATCACATAGTCAGCAGTACAAAATACCCCAACTGGTCACCCAGCTAGAAAAGTAACTGCAACGGACTTCTCGCGCCTGTCGCAGAAGTGCGCCAGGTGACCAGAACGAATAATTATCACCGTCACATTATTGCACCAAGTGACCGCAAAGTGTTAACAAACACGTATATATATATGTAAAATGCAGCTAGCCCAAAAATAACCTGTTCTTCTTTGTCCTTGATAGCTTTGTTGAGAGACTTCAGTTCCTTCTTGATCCAGTTATCGCGATCCTCGCGAGACTGAAAGTGGCTGCCTCTTCCTTGCTTTGCATACAGTTCCTTCCTTTTCTGGTCAGCCTCCGCTAATCTACATTAAAAAACAAAAATAAAAGGGAGTAAAATTTTGCCTTCTGTGTGATTTTTTCCACTCTCTGTACATTACTGACTTCAGAAGTAAATAAAAACTACAGAAGGTAATACAAAATATCTACTCATCCTAATATAAACAAAAAGTACAGCCATCTGAACAGAGACAAAAAAGCAGAGCAGCAGTTTTGGTTTTATACAGAGCAACAAGTATTGTCATAATGAAAAACTAGTAAAAGGGTTCTCCCATTCATTGTTATATAAGCAATTTATTTTGTGCTCTTTAACACTTCAAGGAAACATTCTTTTGTAAACCACATAACATTTATTTTGTTGCATTGGTACTATCCAGCTCCAGCATCTTTAGCTAAACAAGCTCCTTTTCCCTACAGTCCTTCGGAAGCTTGAATATACAGTTGACCCTGGTGATGTTTTGTTTTTTAAAATCTTTATGGCAAATTATAAAGTGAAATTGTACTATTTCAAATTTTTATGTTAACTAGAAAAAATTGTTTTAGATTGAAAAAATATATATATATTTACACTGATTTTTAAACATTTTAACATTTTAAGATTCAACTACTGACCCGAGCCAGCCATACAGTAAACTGTTGTGAACAAAACTAACTTGTAATTCGCGCGCTCATATGATAAAATGACACCATTTTCCCCCTCGACAATGAGTGGTCTTCTTGTACAGGTTTCATATCATATTTCCATTTCATGAAAAACTTTCTAGAGAAACTGCAGTTTTCAACACATTTTTTTTACATTTGGTTGAAGACACTTACCGTGTAGAACACATTTCCTCATTATCCAACTTGTTTTGGTACTCCTGGCAAACAGTATCATATTGGGTCTGTGTCTTCACTATCTTCTCATTCACTTTTGCAAGTTCTGATTCTGCCTTTGCCTGTAGATGATATATTCGAAGTTGAGTATGACCTCTCTGAGGTGAGCAATGTCAAATTAATTCTTTATAGCAGAGAGATAATTAACAAATTTTACATGCATGGACAATGGTTTCAATTTAATTTTATCCTTCACTCAAATCACAGGTGTCCTATGAGCACCCAGTACTCAGGCATCTTCAATTTCGAGGGTGTTTACAAGAGAAATTTAGTTATAATTATCCAAGACTATTAAGAAACCACTGTAGTACAGTAGTGGCTCTCCGAACACTCAATTAACTCACAACACAGCAGCTAACATGACCATGACTTCACACGGACCTGCGAAGTGCTCACATGAAAAACACCACCTGACTCGACTGTCCTACACGGGTCGAGTAGAAAACTGCGGTGTGTAAAGACCTACCTACACCACAATGCATAATGAAATTTAACATACTATTTAAGCAACAAACCATGCCAATATGTAAATTTGCATATTTAATTATAGTGGGCACTATAAAAGTTTAACATGGCCATGGATAGGTCTCTTTTCCCTGGAGTATCACGCAAAAGGGTTGTAGGATGGAACATGGGTATAAGTCGGTCACAACCTCTTGCCGGAATGTCCTGCCACAGCCGGCAAACTTTTACCCATGGGATGGAAGTAGCAAAAATATAGGCCTCATAGAAGTCAAAGAGGTATAGGCAGTCTCATCGTTCTTTTTTCTAAGGGAATAGCAGCACTGAGCAACTTAGAAGGGCTCTGTGCACTTGGGGTGCTACTGTTAAACAACTGCAGACTGACTGATGCAGACTGACTGAGCCTGATTGTTTTTCTTGTGCGACGCGAAGGTGGGGATGGGCAGGGGGGCCAAAAGGCAAAACGAATTTTATTCAAATCAGAATCAAGGGTGTGACAATCATATTTTTATAAAAATATAACCGAAACAACCCCCCCCCCCCCCCCGAAACGATTGTGTCAAATTAGTAAAGAACGGCAGCCCCTACTGTCTCCTGTTTATTTTCAGCCATTTTGATGGTGTTTTCGAAAACTGAAAATGAAATTCCTTAATTTACCTGGTGGAGTGGGAATCCTGTAACTATTACCTCACTGGTTTGTACAAAATACAAAATCTATCAAGTCCATACACATAAAATGTTGACACCAGACCTTTGTATTTTGGTTTCCCCTCTGGTCTTCCACAATGTCTCGAATGCTGAGCTCCAGCTTTGAATTTTTCTTTGTGAGCTCTTGATATTCTGTTGAGATACTATCCTTTTCCTCAAGGGCTGCTTGCATTCTGGCTTTCAGTTCTTTCAATTCTTTGTTGATGGTCTGAAAATTTGAAACAGTAGATATTTTGCTAAAGCCATCCATGCGAAGACTAAAAAAGAAAAAAAGAAAGAAATTGACAATAAAATAAACGAACTATCCAAACACAATAGCAGCACTTTGAAAGTTTTAGTTTTAGTAAGGGTTTTATGGCACTTGCAACACATTTGGTTATATAAGTGCAGAAGATGAGAGGGGTTACAGGGAAGTAATAAGCATCAAAAAGGAGGAGAGAATGGGACAAAAGATATTTGGAAGGAGAGAAGGAGTAAACCACAACAGAGCACCTGCCAACCTCCAATGTACTTGGAAAAATTCACCAGTTTAAAGCAGGTCAGGAGCGGAAAAATTTTGCAACATACATTGGTCTAATTCAAACATGTAATGTACAACACAGAAAAGAAAAATACCTTATATAAATACCTTTGTACTAACTCGCTTCAGACGGTTCACGCAACAGTTGCGTGCCCCCTACCGCGATGGTTCTCGCAAGCCCTGCGTGATCAACTTTAGAATTTTTTTTTCCCTATTCAAACCACGCACACGTCGCATGATCCGTCTCGTGCCCTTGTTTTGGCCAGTCCTTAGCTACTTAGACTTATTTTCGGATCTCTGGGGCAAATAGTTTTTAAATTATTGAAGATGAAAGACAGTCACCCCAACTGGGGTTGAACTGACCAGAACTTGCACTATTTTTTCTATACAGCTGATAGTAATTTGACAGTCGCGCCGTAGTAGCGATCGAAGAAGTCGCATGAACAAGAATCAGATAATTTCGCTGTTTTCGATACTTCTGTTCATTTTACTTGTTCTAGTGTCTCAGAATATGATGTGTCTGTGTCTCATGTAATTCAGTGTATGGGTCTGAATCAACGCACAGCCCAGCTTTTATATTTTCATCAAACACTCACAAATGTATACAAATCAAAACAGAACACTTTTGAACTTTTATTTTTCTTGTTGTGAATTTCATTCTACCTGTCACGTGTCTGGAATTTTTTATAGGAAAATCAAATTCACACCAGTTTTCAACGCTAGTGACTGGTGAAAGGAGTCAGTAGTCAGTGAATTAAACAAAACAAAACAGGACAAGGGTCAAGTCAGTGAAAACTGAACACTACAGTGCTTACTTGCTTTATGTTGTCAACATGTTTTTTCACACCATGCATAGCCTTTACTTGTCACAACCAAGAGCAAAATGTTTGCGCAACTTACTTTTTTTTAGTACATTTTTTTTTTTTTATGTTTTAATTAATTAGTAATGTTTCCATTGCATAAAATATATTAAATTATAAGCCATCTCTACATACTTTCACTCTGTCATTGGCTGCTGTCAGATCATCTCGCAAAACTGTAGAATTAGCACCACTGTTGTCTCGTTTGGACTGGAGCTGTAAGAAAAAAAGAAAAGAAAAAAAAAATGTTTTCCCCCCAATCATTTAGACACCACAAACTATTTATTTCAGGTCAGCAAACGAAAATCAAATATTAAACGGAAACGGCCTGATAATAAAAGCCAGGGGGTCTTTCTCATGACTATTTAGTCCAGCCACATATAGGAACATTTAGTCAAAATTGAGAAAGCCCAAATTTGAAAGCAACTATGAAAATACAGTTGTAGTCTGCAACAAGGATCCCAAAGCCTTCCTTAATTCCCCTTAAATAGCATTTTTCTTGAGGAGTGTGTGTGTGTGTGTGGGGGGGGGGGGGGGGGGGGGGGCCTTCACTGCCTGCAACTTATTATAAGGGTAACTCCTTTTGATGTTACAGTAAGAGGAATTTATTCACCATCCATTGTTCCTTGTTTTCTACTACAAAAAATGTTTACATTCAATTTATCTTACATATTACTTTCTAGATACAAATTAAACGGGATCTCAGGTGAAAAATATTGCATTTGAAGCAAAAGAAAAATTAAGTTCCAAAATATTTACAGGCACAAAGAAAGCTGAGTACAGAATGTGAATACATCTTTAACAAAAACAACCGCAAACTCAATACACCTCGCATTGAGAGACATTACAAATGAAAAACATTCTGACAAAATCACATTTGAACTTACTTCATCTAACTTTTTGCGGGTGTCTTTCAGCTCATGATCGTGAATGGTATATTCCAGTGACCTTGATTGCAGGAAAAAAATAGTTTAAATTAAACGTGTACTGTATTTATTTATAATCAAAGCCTTTAAACCTAAATGAAATTGAGAAATACATACGAAAATAAAATAATATTGGTCATTAAATTCAGAAGACAACGAATTGTTCATAAAAATAACACATTGAAATTCTTAACAGTAATACACAAACACCAATTTATTGTTATTGAAGCGTAAACTTTAAAATATATGGCAAGAAACACACTTAGCGGCAGAGAGGAATAGTACCAAAAATGTTAAATCATGCAGGGCCAACTAAAATTTTATTTTACTCAGTAATACAAGTAACAAATGATGAACTTTTCCTTCTCCAATTTATCCCTGACAACAATGTACCTGAACTACAACATACCTCCTCATTTTGTCCCACTTTTGATACTCTTTCAGCTCTTCTTTCTCACCCTCCAGGGTATTCAGGCGCTCCTCGATATACTTAAGTAGGTCATTTATCTTTTCAAGCTTGCCATCTATGGAAGAAAACATTTATTTTGTTTTTATAACAAGTTCAACACCCTGTACTCTCAAACAGTTTAATTTTAAAACATGGTCACATACTACCGAGTTTCTGTGTTCTAATTATATGCAAGATTGGACCTTTCACGGACAAATCAGTAACAACAAAAAAAGCTAGATAGAATATAGAACACTGAGAACAAATACACTCTTATGCTCTTCGGGTGATGACATGAGTGGTAGTCCCACCAGCATGGGAACTTTTGGTGAGACTGAGGACACAAGAATTGTCGCTGAGACTGAGGACATTTAGAACCTCAGCGAAAGCTCATGGTAGAAAAGGCAATAAAGAATAAATGAGTATTTGAGAGCAAAAACAGGACCCAACACATCCCAGATATTATTATCATTCAAGCAGAAGATTAACATAAAATGGTGGGTGCACATTAAAGCAAATTACATTGGTAATTTGCACCTGAAAAGCACGGCAATAAAATGCCAACGCCTACATGACATTTTTAAAAATATGCAACCGTTCTATATTTGCACACCCATAGTCCATGTTCCAGGTTTTTCAGCAAGGTTTATGTATTATTGGTTCACCTGCTTCAATTATCCAGACTTATTGATCCAGGGTCAGGGACAAGACATACAACCCAATTGCTCAACTTCCTTCTACTTTCCACCTCATTCCCTGTATGAGCCATACCAGGGGACCTATGTTACAAAAGTCGTAAGCTCTGAGCTTTATTTGCATCCACACCATGTATAAACTCCACACAGAAGTATCCTGAAAATATTTTTGGTACACGTACCACTGACTCAGAAGCAAGAAGCAAACACTTAATATAAAGAAAAGAGTGTTGACAAACAATCAGAAAGAAAAAACTTGTTTATGTAGCAGTTCTGTCAATTTTAAAATGCATCAGCATAAAAATCAAAATACCTGTCTCTGTTAAAATGGCATTGCTTTCTTCTTTCCGTTCATCATACACTTTGGTTCCTGCAACTTCTCTGAGTAGTTTTAAACGTTGTGAATCTGGAGCTGTTGCCATTTGGTTAATCTAGAATATACAAAGTAGAAATAGCAAAATTACTTTTCTAAAACAGCACAGCAGTACAGGAAAAGACTGAAGAGGTTACTTAACTCCATGCATTCATCCATCAAATAAGCAATAATTTCCCATCTTAACTTGACCATATAAAAAACTTGAGGAAAGTCATAAAATCATAACAAATGTATGAAATGCATCTCAACTTTCAAAGGCAGCACCCAAAAACAATTTTCTCAATTACCTTTCAAGATCTTTTGAAACAATGAAACCCGTACATGACGACAAAGTCTTTTCCTTTCATAAAAAAGCTAATTAAGAATCCAACACGCTTTAAGTTCAAAACACAATAATTCCTAAAGACAAGATAAACTATCACAACGGTGCTTTTAACACTGACAGTACCTAAGGCTCATATAGTGAAAAACCCTTAAGTACCACATCAGTTCAGAACATTGAAGTCGTAGAATTTTTTTTAATTAAAAAAATTCTTCACAGCCCAAAAAATTGATAGAAGATCAGCCATTCAGCTATCATATAGAGTGACTTCCTTTGGTACTTACACACACCAGCGCAGTGCGTTCATTCGTTGTTTCATTATTAGACCTGCATGTGAGTCACAACCAGATTGTCTGAAAATTTTGCGCAAATAACAGCTTTTGTGGGTGTCTTAAGGAAGGACTTCCGAGTAACGAGCGACCACCCCAACAAACACAATAAAGAAGGGACCTAACCTTAACCCTACCCATAGGCCTACCCCAAAAAAGAACCTGCAACGGGCCTCATGTAAAAAGGCCAGCACAAGTCCAAAATGAAAAAAAATTTGTTAATGTTTTTTTAAAAACACACTCCAAAACAAACAAGGAGCATATGGCCTACATCTACATTGCTAGATCTAGATTAGAAATCCGCATCCGATTCCGAACAGAGACTCAGCTGAGTCTAGATTCTAATTAAGCAAATAATTCACGCACCTGATGAAATGCTTTTTACCAGCATTAATATTACAGCACAACCTATGATAGGGCTAGACACAATAGAATTGGAATATGAATCCTCCATTGAGGTTTATAATGATCTATATAAATCTAGATCTAGATTCTATTAGAACAAATGAGTCTGACATGAATGAATCCACACGATCTGAACAATTGAATTAGTCAACAAACGAAATTCAAAATGGCCGCTCGAGCACGAAACTGAAAGTAGATAATTTAGGTCGTCGTCCTTTTTCGTATTCGCATTTCTACTCAGGTTCCGACAAAAAAAAACGAAAGTGCCGACGAGAGAAAAAGGGGGCGCTGGCAGTCGGCCAGGCCTCGCACTACGCACATTGACAAATACAGGTGGGCCTAGCGATAGCATCGGCCAGCTCGCGGGTCAAGTCGCGATTGTCAGATTTCAGACGATTGTCGGCAAACATGCAGGTCAACATTATGTTTAGTGTGCCTACACTGCGGCCTAGCTACTAAAGTCGCCGACGGTACTGTAAGTGTTAAATATCACCTTCCAAATGATGCACAATCTTGTTCACAGAAAAACAGAGAATTATAAATATATATATATATTTTTTAAGCGTGAAGAAATTTTCCGAGCTAATAAAACCCCACGTAGCTATATATGTTCATAAATTATGGGTTCCAGAGAGAGATGTTACTGAAAATGACAAAAAAACACAACCAAAAAAAAAGAGGACCAAATGCACAAACCTTTCCTTGTTTCACAATGTAATAAGGGTTGCTCCTTGAAAAACCAGCACTTTCTAACAAATTCATCACATCAGATTTTCTGGAGAAAAAAAAAAGGAAAAAAGCTGGGTATCTTCAAACTTCAAGATAGTTTTTCACAGACCTGTCACATAAACATTTATCACAGTAGTGGCACTTACCAGTTTACTAAAAAAGACACACACAAAATTCAGTCACAAGGAAAAAAGCACAAGATCCCAGTCTCTCCAAACAACAAGGGTCTCAACACAACTACCCCTTGAAAACTTATAAAGCAAGAAGAAATGGGAACCCAAAACAGCAAACCTTAAAGACAAAAAACAATGTAGTGTGAGATTTTAAAAATGCAAACTTTATCCTATACTCAAGATTTAATCTTGACTTGTGGTTATTTACAAATTGATGTAAAAATCACAGACCATGAAAGTCCAAAACTACTGCATTCAAGGATTACAGTGCACAAATCTTAAGTGTTCGCAAAAAGCATATATACACATTTTGCGCCAATGTCATATTTCATAATTTCCACTCTGTTAATTTGCACTACATCAGGACACAATACAAGCTTAAACAAAACTTGTCTCAATTTCAGACCTTCATAGTTTGCTACTGTTACCATCAAGATATAAATATGGTAACTTTCATATGCAAAAGACTGAAAGAGACCAAAACAAAACAAAAAACCCCAAAAAACACATCCAAGTCATTACTCAAAACAACTTACGTGACCATCTTCTTGTCCAAGAAGTATTGGTCTTTCTTCGAGCCAATCACACGTCTAAGTACCACCTCATCTTTCTCAATCTGAAAACCAAAGAAAAAGGCAAGGTAAGTGACTGCAAAAAAGTGAAAATGAAACAAAAAATGCTTGCACCTATGTATACAAGTAAAGAGGCCACTAGTGGTTCCCTCCATCTTTCTACAGTCTTTTGAAATTATAAACTCACAGATGCCTCACTCACTCTCATATGACCTAATACAGATGTGAGCGCCGTAAAAGACTTCCAAAAATAATAATTTTTTAAAAAATAGACGTCTCTGCATGAAGGTAAAAAGAAATCCTAGCAGAGTGCATTCATGGTCATTTGTTAAGGTGATTGTTTTCCACAGGTGGTCCTCACAGCAAATTCAACTTTGAGATAAGCTTATTTCCATTTTAAACAGAAGTACATGGACAACATAAAGGCCATTCAGTGCATGGAAAAAGCAAGTTAGAAAGACAGAAACATACGGAAAGAAAAGAAGCAGGACAATCAGTGGTGCCTTCCAACCTAGAGCCAGTTGGAAGAGCATGCAGTTCCAAAGAAATGGGAAAGAGCACAGCGGCCAAAAAAGTGATGAGAGAAAAAGGAGCATTTTCCACAGCACCACTTCTAAACTACATTCAATTCAAATGCAAACGCAATTGTTGATCAATAGAGTGCAGCACCCTTGTGACATTACCGGAATTCTGTTGTCAGAGTTGTCAAAGATGATCTCCACAAATGCACTGATAACACGAGGCCCAGTTCCTTCGTGAAGGAGGGCTTGTCGCTGGTCTGGTCGCATGTGACTGAACTCATCAGACAACACAAACTGAATGGCTGAAATAGACATGAACAAAAAAATCCAACATGGATGACATCCAAAAAATAAAACCCTGAAAATTTCTTTTCACGAGAGAAACCTATATATACACAATGACATAAAAGATCAAAGGCTGATAGCGACATGAATACACTGTATACATGGAACCTACACAAAGTATTATACATCCTCTGCTTAACTGGCAGCAATATTTATTATTATCCCTATACGCCCATTCTGCCCATGTGCTTTAATTTAATCTCTTATTACACAACAAACTTCCCTTTACTAAAGTCTATATAAACAAAAAGTAAAGATTGAAATAAGAATATAATATAAGATAGGGAGTAAGAAAAGAGGTCCAATCGGCTACTGAAAAGTAATTACAAGTGCATAGACCTTTAAAAATTAAAGCCCATCATCATGACCCCCGAATGCAACAAGTACTCACCATAGAAAAAATTGCTTTTTCCTGATCCATTTCTTCCCACTGTAAGCGAAAAGACAAAAAGGTCAAATTAATTTGTGAGCTCCATACCTGTGCTGCAATCATTTATCCAAGAAGTAATTCTCATAACAACGACATTATAGTATAGCCTAAACAGAAGGGCTTAATATAAATTATTAAGATATTACAATACAAGTAACTGTTCAAGTTTGAAGCAACACTGTTCAAATCCACATTTATTCACATGTTTCATAATTAAACCCACCAGAAAATCAAGGAGACCACCGACACTTAACCAAAAAAAAAGGGTCCTGCAATTTGCAAAAGTGTCAATTTCTGTCTACAATATCCCCCAGAATTGCAAAACCTTTACAGTTGGAAATAAACCCGAAACTCTTTTCACTTGAAAATTGATGTCTATTGAACCTATGTAAAGCCGAAAACTGTCAGACTCATGAATGGAGTAAAATGTTTTCATTCCTTTTTAAACATTCAACCAGTTTTCAATCTTTGACAGCCGTTTTCTGGTAATTTTACCTCAAGACACCACGCAACCTCCTTCAATCGCACATATTTTAATTTCTATTCCAGATGGACAGGCATTTATTTCATCGAAAGCAAGACAATTGAATAAGCTTTATGATGGTGGCAATAACTCCATATATGCCCAAAAATTGACAAGCACCTGATTCTACAGCATTCTAACACATTTTATGTTGCACTCACCAATGACATTGTGCTTGGAACTGAAAGGTTCAACAACAGTTTGATCCCTGTAGCTCCGGAAGCCCTGAATAATGACCTAGGAGAAAACAAGAAGCAAAAACGCTAAATGCATACCCTGAATGATCAACATCAAAATCACAATATACAGCCAAACTTGTGTAAGATGGCCAAGCATTGACGTGGAGAAAATTTTTGTCATCTTCCGGGGTTTCCGGGGCCAGTTGAATAGATCTCACTGTGGTGGGCCCGCTTTGCGGCTTAGCGCGCGATGGGCTACGTCATTAAGTTTCATTGCCGACTGCTTGGGCTGTGAATACGCGTGCGCAGCGCACGTGTGTGTGCGTTTGGGATATGCCGTTAAACGAAGAAAAGACGCATCTTTCTGATTGGCTGCTAATTTTAGTACTGTGATGTCATCACTCCCTGGGATACCCACATGGAACGACGTGTTTTCGGTAACATTTCGGATTTCCTAGATCTAGAAATCTAGATTCTAGATCTAGATAGTAGGCCTACTTGGACATGATGGAAGACCCCACGAAAATTGCCGTAAAGACGCAGGAGGATTAGATCTAAATCTCTAAATCTAGATAGATCTACCACCCCCCACCCCCCTTCTGCATTTTTAATCAGTAATATATTTAAAAAGAAAAAAAACAACTTCAAAGCAGCTCTACAAATTAGGCCTATAATCTATGAGACTGTTGGTCAGTCGGGAGGAGGAGAAGAGAAAAAAAACAACTGTCCGGGACCGGGATCGAACCGCTCCAAAAATCATTGCACGATTTCCGACGCAGACGCGCGGTCTATTCAGCCATCAGAACTTCCGAGAGAAAGGTGTACATTAAGGCTTTAGTTATTCGCACAGGGTGTTTGAATACTATGGAATTGTATTCGCACAGGGTGTGTGAATACTATGGAATTGTATTCGCACAGGGTGTGCGAATACTATGAAATTTTATTCGCACAGGGTGTGTGAATACTTCGAATATTGTGAAATTTTATTCGCACAGGGAGTGTGAATAATACTAGAAATGTTATTCGCACAGGGTGTGTAAATACTATGAAATTATATTCGCACAGGGTGTGTGAATACTACAAAATATTATTGGCACAGGGCATTTCAAAAGAAGGATGGAAATTTTCTAGATCTAGCATTTCCTCATTTTTCTTTTTCACAATCCTCTTTCTGTAGGGACAAAGATCATGGGATAGATCAAGAAATCTAGATCTAATTCTAATTGTGCAATGCGATACAACCCCCCCCCCCCCCCCAACTCAAATTAGAATTCAAGTTGTGTATTGTGTCAATGATAATTACTCAAATCTCTCTTTTTTTGTTTTCCTTGAGCTAGAGAGAGAGAGAGAGAGAGAGAGAGAGAGAGAGAGAGGGAGGGAGGGAGGGAGGGAGGGAGGGAGGGAGGGAGGGAGAGGGAGGGAGGGAGGGAGGGAGGGAGGGAGGGAGGGAGGGAGGGAGGGAGGGAGAGAGAGAGAGAGAGAGAGAGAGAGAGAGAGAGAGAGAGAGAGACATTTAAAGCCTTTATTTGCCAAAAGGTGGGATACCCGGGTGTGACAAACGGGGTCCAAAATCAACGTAGGCTCCACCCTGTGCGAATAAAATTATTTCTTATTCGCACACACGGTGTGAATAATATTAAGGTAGCGTCAATTGCCACCGAGTGACGCGGTGGCAATTGACAAAAGGCCACCCTTATTCTCACCCGGGGTGAAAATAGTGCAGGCGGGTCTTGTGGCTATTCTCACCCGGTGCGCGTGTCAACAAATTTTGCGTTCACCCTAAACCACAGAATTCTACACTGTGATAGAGAAAAATTGTAGAATTCTGTGCTGTGAACAAACGTTCCATTACAACTGTACTTGTAGCCTACTAAAAGCGTACAATTTTGTCTGTGGGCAGGGGAGAGAGAGTGAGAGAGAGAACAAAACAAAATGGCGACCCGCGTAGTTCAGCTCGATTCGAAAAGTTAAATAGCCGTAGCATCTTTGTAGACAACCAAATTAATTTACTTTTGTGTTTTAACATCAATTTTTAACTTTGTTTTGGTCAATTTGATCGTCCACACCGATAGACAGTATTCAGAAAGAGACTGAGAGAGAGAGAAGAGGGGAGGAGTAGATTTTGCGAGAACTTCCGGGCGGGTGAGAATAGCCACTTTCTTGACAAAAATTGACTTTTTTTCAATTGCCACCGAGTGAAGCGGTGTCAAGTCTGAAAACAACACTATCTTTAGCATTATACATAATGTGTGTCTAATTAGCAATGCCAATGAAAATTTAAATTTTCACTTTTGCCCCCTTTTTTTTGGTACCTAAGAAAGAATTTTCAATTCTGATAATTATGCTTCTTGAATTTTGAGAAACGGTTCATAAATAAAAAAGTTATGGGGTTGTTAAGGTCGGCAAAATATGGATGACCCACATATAGGAAAATACTCCTAAAAAGTGGACCACGCAGTAGCAGATTCTGTAAGAAAATCGACGATATCTCGGTAACTAATCCAAATGTTCGAGAGAAACTTGGCTACCCGATGTGTTTTTGAGTGTAGAAATCATTTCTGCAGTCAGATTTACTACCAATTTCGTAGTTATTTTGTTATAATTAAAATTGTGGTGTACATATTACGATTTTGCGAAAAAGGGGTGTCGGGATGAGTCCATTTTATTTATAGCATCGTATCACAACATGGGATCTTTAAGAATATATGTCGGCAGCGTGACTAAATAATTGCAAAGCTTTTTATGATGACTTTAGACCATGCCAACCGTAAAAGATAAGTTAATTCAATCTAGCATGCCGTACAATTAAAAATTCTTTTTCCCCGTTGAGACGCGAACACCTCGAGACGAGATAACCTCGCCTCGGAATACCCCCATTGCGATGTTACAGGGGAATAGAGAGAAAAACAACCGGATGCGCGCGCCCGCCATTGCCCTATTTCAAGTGACCAATGAACGGGCCCGGAATAGTCATGCGGGGATTTGTAGGTCACAGACATTTGCCACGGGAGTGAGGGGAAAATGGCCGGTCTCCGTGCGAAGCCGCTTTGGATAGGGGGGTAGTCGTAGATTTACGATCGGGTCTAAACAACTACTTGACACAGAACTCTCAAATTTGAGCACACTATAGAGGATAGATAGATCTATTACCATCTGGGCGTTGAAATTCAAACTCCTTATAGTTTTCGGTGTACACGATACGAAAGTGTTCCCGACACCAAAAGTATAGGTTAATTTATGTGTACGAACTTCAACGTCCACATATCATTAGTTTGCCCTATTTTCTGATTGGTAGCCGAGTTTCATTCGGATTGGTTCGGAAATAGAGCAGACCGAGGTTGACAAAGTTAGTCACCTACGCTTCGGCCGGGTCCGCAAAATCGCCCGTAAACGGGGACCAAATTTTCGCCTCGCGGGAAAGCCCGATTGGCATTGCTAGTCTAATGGATCAATCTGTTCTCAATAATTTCATTGGACGAGCATCTAGTCTAAAGCTACGGAACCAACTTGGCGTGTTTTCAATGAAACGTAGGCCTAGATCTTGGCTAGTCTTAGCCTACACTTTGGTGTAGAACCAACACAGGCAATTCTAGAAGTAGAAGGTCACAAACGCACACAAACTCAAGCAGAAATTCATGTTATATCGGGGAACATAAATCGGGGGACGGGAGTCAGGAAAAGACACACACACACACACACACAAACACACATACACATAGAGGGACAGAAAGGCGAATGCACAACACCGAGCACTCGAGCACAATAAGCTAGATCTACCCACCAACGCAAAAGAGCTCCAATTTACTCGGTGGCAATTGACAAAAAGACAATTTTTGTCAATTGCCACCGCGTCACTCGGTGGCAATTGACATTACCTAATATTAATTCTTATGCGCACACCCGGTGTGAATAAAATGAAATCTTATAAAAGTTATGCGCACACCCGGTGTGAATAATCACTTCCGTAGACTAAGTAAGCACCATATACGTTGACACTTCCATCTTTGGTGCCATGCAGTTGATTATACTTAGATGTAGTCACGTAATCTGAGGGGTATCCTGGTCTGACAAGATGGCCACCTTACCTAAAAATAGCTTGCGTCTTTTCTACGTTTAATCGCATGTATGTGCGTTCGGGTTTGTGACCTGTATTTATAAGATAATGATAAGAGATCACAAATATACCCAAAAAAAAGCAAACACGGCGAGATCAAATTAGGCCCATCAAATTAACAGCAACTGATGAGGGAAACCCAAGAGTCTTGGGGAGGATGACAAAAATAGATGGCAGAAATACTTCATCTAGATCTATATTTAGGCAAATCACTAGTTTCATGTGAAATGACTCAGCTGTAGCAGTATATAAAAAATATTCTACACACAGTACACAGACTGAGTGACAGATGATGGAACTGGGCAGGACCATGAGGAATTTTTCAGGAACAATGATCTTGACATGCTGTGACCATTGTTTATTTAACATTCCCAACAATGACAAACAGATTTTAAACGCTGAGACCACCACCAACACGAAGTACATGTACGCCTGCTCGGTCTTAGAGACGTAACATAGAGGCTACTTTCTCAACTATAGGGCTATCGATAATAGGTGTTTCACAATTATACTTCGTCTTAAAATTAAGCTCAGGCGTACATACATGCACCGTCATAAAGCTTACCTGCTTTATATACATCGCAGCTGTCTTTCGCTAATGACCATCAGCATGGGGTGCACTAAAAGCACAAATTGTCAAAGTGAAATACTTGCACCAAGTTGTTTATTTACTACTGAAGTACAAGGGAAGCCATCACAAATGGCGGCAAATATTACCATAATAATATGCGAGCCTTTAAAAATGTAAGCTATCATTAAAATATTATTAACACGTGAAAAGAAGATACAAAACATTTTTCATCTTCTTAGATATTTAAAAAATAATTTAATAATCGATGAAATATTTTGAACTGCCTCTATAACTGGCCTATTACTTATGTTTAAAGCTGTAAGAGGCAGTTCTTGGATCCAAAGATCTGTTATTTTGAGCAATCACTGAGGCCACCGGAAGCAAGTCCAACATCAACGTACCGTTAGTGAATTTAGGTAGGCACTAATTTCAGCCGCTTTTATGGGAGATGACTGGGATGCGCCTTATTTGAGCAAGGCATCGTTGTAAAGAGGTAAAGACTTATTATATTTTGAGTTTATGTATAATGTTGAGCTATTCTGACTCATTGTGAAGTGGCAAACAGCGAAGGCGCATTTTTTCTGGAAGTGTTTGTGAAGGCCAGCATTTTTTTTAAGATACAGGACGTCTAAAAAATAAAAAGAGGACTCTGCTCTTAAAGAGCAATAACTTCAAAACTACTCATTATGTGGACTAATTTCAATATTTCGAACAAAGAAAATGTCACTAGAGGGACGTTAAGCTGTAAATATGAAGAAAATCAAGCAACCATTTTTTTTTTAAGAAGTCAAGTTTTAAACCTTTCAAGCAAAATTGGGTACCGTAACCTAAAACGCAAAATATTTTACTTTTTAAAAGCATTCAGCTTCAGGGTGTGATCAACCCGTACTTGTATCACTGCAAAGACAGTACCACAACAGTCATAGCCTAGTCATATTATATCACAATAATTCTAAGATTGGAGTGAATCGAATTTTTGTTCTACAGCTCAAACATTCATTTAACTTTTAAAGAAAACCAAAAACTCATTTAGAAAAATAAATTTGGTCTAAAAATGGGAGAAAGTGCAATTTTATCAAATTCATTATCATGTGTGCAATAGGGACATTTTAAAGCCTTTTTTGGTAAGTTTTTCATGTTTCAAGCACTTTAAAATTATAGTCTAAAATCTCACAAAGTTGTTGAACTAGATGCTCTGAAAATTGGAATGTTTGCTGTTCACCAATTCCCAAAGATAGTGTTTCAATTTTATATTCTAATTTTATAGATTCCTTAGTGGAGGTGTTCAAAGGCAAATTAGTCACCTGTGTTGTGTATTTAATTGATAAACTTCAAAGTTCAAAATCCTGATCACTCCTTTAAACAGACGTAACAGTAATTTTTTTTTAATGTCAATAATTCAAGAAAAAGCATACATTTTGACTGAAAAATGAAAAATATTAGATTATCCAAAGTACTTTTTGAGATTTTAAGTATATATAAATATATATATATTATATATATATATAATATATATATATATATATATATATATATATATATATATATTATATATATTTATATATATATATAAATCCAAGATGGCAGTCGTTGCCATGGCAACACATCTTAAAATTGGGGCATTATAACTTACTTCCATTTAAAGAACTATGATGTGAAAAAACTCAAAAGTTCAATTTTAAACAAACTGGGAAAATCAGTAGCAAGTTCCCTAGCTATTCCAAAGTCTGCCACAACTGAAACAGTTGAAACTCAACATTGAACAGAAAGTCCAAAGAATCGACCCAGAGGCACGCCACAGGATTATGCAAAATTGCCAGTGGCTTATTAAATAATTGGTGCTTGTAAGGAGACATGCAAATGGTCAACATCTGGAGATTTAAATACATATCACCTTCCTGAGTTTATTTGGCAACATCAGTTTTGTATGAATTTGTTCTTCAATGCACAAATTGCGACCATTTGAAATATAGAACAATATAATTGTTTTTTAAGAATTTACAAAATTTTGCATTTCACTCAATTTAGACTGAAATTTTCAAAACTTTATATTTTTCAAAAATATTAGTTTGATTATTTTTTTTCATTTTGACCAGTTTAACATCCCCCTTGGTTATAAGTATTTTACATCCCCATAGACACAATTTAGATAATTTAGGAGGCAGGCTTCTGATCCTGCCTATAAGGGCCAGCCCAGGCTGAGAGGGATAGTAGAGATACAACATTCCAGCAGAAAGACTAAGATCTTAAAATTTCTTTCCACTTGGGAATCTAAGTCAGGTCTCCTGGGTACGTATGAGTATGACAGCGAAGCACCTCACTATACAATGGAGTCCACTTTTAACGAGTCCTGAAATAATGAGAAGTCTGTTGTAAAGACAAGCTATTCTAAAACCCCATTGTTTTCCTTCTTTATCTTTATAAATATATTGCAAAAGGGCAATCAAACATGCGAGTCGGTTATAGCGGAATATTGCTGCTGCTACGCACAGTGCATAGCCCGCCAGTTGAGAAAGTTGTTGATGATCTAGTGGAACAAAGAATGGTAGAGCCCACGTGTGCCAACAATAAAAGCCTGAGTGAATGAGTAGGGAGGGTGTAGCATGCACAAACAAGTCGAGCGTTGCGTGATAGGCCAGCCCAGTCTAGATTATCTAGCCCTACCATGCCTCTCACTTCTCCAATGCGGGGATGGAGATGTCCCAGTGCTGTGATGGGTGGAGTGAACGTGTGACGTAGGCAGGGTATGGTGTGTAGCCAATGTACACAAATAAACGGAACGCACCACAGGGTGTTTTGGTAGTTTAGTAAACGTTTTACGGCACTGGCAACACAATAAGGTCATGTAAGTGATAAGAAAGAAGAAGCAAACCACACAAGAGCACGCGCCAACCACCCACCCACAGGGAGTGGAGAGGTGGGGGAACAACACAGCTGCCATCATCAAGGAAGATCAACAAAAAGAAATAAACAGAACACCAAACTCATAGATTAGGCCTACTTTATTAATTCCCTTGAATTTATTACTGGATCCCTTATAACGTGAATCTTGCCATTATAACGAATGTTTCGCACCAGTCCCCTCCCCCTCATTATAACAGGATTCCACTGTACCACAGACGCCAGACCTGAAAACTAAACATTTTTACAGTAATGCAGACAGTCTTATCTGCTACACAAGATATCTTGATATAATTTTTAGAATCCATGATAGGTTTAGGGCAAGACGTTTGATGAAAAAACAAAAAAAATCTGAAAAGAGAACCGTTTCGATATGTTCAAAATTATCTCCCCTTCTTAAAAGACGACCATTTACTACATGATGCACACAGTTGTGACACGGTGTTGGGGGGAGGGGAAATATAATTCTTTTAAGATAACTACAAGGTATGAACAACAAATTTCATGAAATATGAAAGGGCCTTTGCTTTTTCTTGCCAAAATCCCATTTCATGTATGCTACAGTTCATGTAGGCTACGGAACCGATTAAGAGAGATAGCTTAATGGTTATCCTCCTACTGTCTATTGTAACTGTGAAAGGAGAAGCCTGTGCTGCTTGGCCGCATCTGCTCCATTCGAGGAAGATGTTCAACCTTTGACAACACATGTGTCATTGTTACCCCCTGGTTCGCCACTGGTTTTTATTTGTTGGGCTCAGACAATCCGTGACCAGAATGGCCATTCAAACTTTTTGTACCATAGGCCTGAACATGTTGTTCTAGGTTTTAAACCAGTGGGGGCTCCAGTGGCTAAGTGAGTGTTGAGTTTCGACTCAAGTAATGTCAAGTAAGTGTCGGTGACACGGGGATCAGATGGGTGGTCACTGGGGTGTGTCCTTGAGCAAGACACGACAAGCCTAGCTCAAAATACAGGGCGCTGCACAGTGGCGACCGACAGCAGCATGTTTGTAAACTATTTTGTAATTTGTGTAGTATTGTGTATTCATGTGTGTATTTCTGCATGTATTTATGTATGAACGTATTCATAATTATGTAATTTATGTATGTAAATGTACGTTTGCCATTGTAAATCAAAGTGCCCTTTCGGGACTAATAAAAAGTGTAATTAAATTTTTTATTTATTTAAAAGGGGACACCTACCCTCTTTTTTCAACAGTCATGTGAAAACAGGCATGTCCGACTGTCCTATGTTTGTGTTTGTCTCAAGTCTTCCATTGCCGGGACATATTAAGTTAAGACTAAAACAGGCTGCGGGTGCAAGACACCCTGGTATCTTTCTTGGTGTGGTCTGGGTGTTAGAAGAGAGTGATACAACATCAAAGAAGATGTGCGTATTTGAGCAACTTTCTCTCGCTAAGGTTATTCCAAGCTGAGTTCTTAGTGCTCACCTAACCTGTACCCCCAGGGATATATCTAAATATATATATGAAGTGTCTAGCTGGACTTCTAAACGGCTGGGTCCCAGTAGGATAACAGAACACCACTCCAAGTCTGGCTAGGAAGACCCTGAGATACTTGATTTTGGTAGCCGGGTACCACCAGTGTGACTTTAAAAAGAATTTAGGTGTCTTTTACTCCCCCATCGACACAATTTAGATATTTTTTTAGGAGGCAGGTTTCCAACCTTGACTGAGGCTGAGAGGGATACAATATCCCAGCAGGAAGACCGAGATGAAAAAATTTTCTCCCCACTTGGGAATCAAACTCATGTCTCTCGCAAGTGACAGCAAAGTGCCAATATTAATACCACTACACCAAAGACGCCAGTCTTTAGTGTAAGCTGGAAACACAGGTTGGAGGACTACTTCACTTTTTGTTCCATCATTTTTCATTTTTTGATGGCTACCATATAATATACCTAATCTGATAAACAAAATGAGACTTTAGGTGAGGTAAGAAGATAGGCTGTGGGATTTTAGAAAACAGACCACTCTAATAATAGACTGGAAAAATGGTTAGACTTAAGTAGTATTTATTCTTCAGACTTATCAAAATACAAAGAGGGTCATGGAATGTGGTAGAGGTAATAAAAAGAGAGGTACCAAAAAGCAAAACTTCACAATACATGTATGGCACTTTACATGAAACCGAACAAAAGTAACTGATGAGTAGACATTCTTTACATCAACATCGGTTTAAGTTCTCAATCATATTTAGCATGTGAGTATTTATGTATATATTAATGCCTTGCCTGATCACAAAGAACCAACTTTTGAAGTTATCATGTACAAATCATAGATGCACAATGACTTTCCTAGGAGAGAGATGTAATAACTTTACAACATCCATTCCCCCCCCCCCCCCCAAACACACACAAAATTACAGATGCTAACTACTGCACTTCATTAAAATTAAACACTTATATTTTTTATATTAATGTAACATATGTCATAAGGTCTTTCAAACAATGTGAAGCATTTCCCGACCTCATATGCAAAAGTTTAACTTTAAATAAAGTTTTGCACCCTCCTTTATGCAATTCAGATAACTTAGGAGACAGGCAGCATTAATCCTGGTCTAACCCAGACTTAATGGGATAGAATCCCAATAGAAAGACATGGATACTATATAAAATAGACATTTCCAAATGGGAAGCAACAAACCTGCATATATATGAACAGCAAAGAGCCTAACTGTTCTGCTACACCACAGGTGCCAGAACAGAACATCAAGAGTTGAGGGGTCCAAAAGGTTTCCTTCTTCATTCTCCCCCGCCCCCAATGCTCCAAGTACAGTCGAACCTGCCATGACGGCCACCTGTATAATACGACCACCTGTACAAACAGTCACTTTCCATTTTCCCCCTAGCGTTTTTTCTATATAATTTAACAGTGTAAAACAGTCACCTGTCCAATGCGGCCACGGCCACCTTATTTTATCAACCCACTGTCAAATTTTTCTGCCTCAGGCGGCCAAGCGGGGTCACTCATTGCCCGACGCTTTGTCATAAATTTTTAATCGGCCCCTCGCGCTGTGGACGGGCAATCATAATTCATTCACCTGTCGTTATTGTTAGTCCCTCCAGTGAATGTTTACCCAAGTTGACCAATGGGTAGGCCCAACAATGAATTTTCAACTGCTTGTGAGGGAAGCATGATCAGTCATAACCTATAAGCCCTGCCCACAACTCATGCACATATCGTAAGTGAGGTGACTGGTCACTGTTTTGTTTACCTAATCTGTAACAAAGTAACAATGGACGTTGACGTGAACTTGAGACAGAAGAGTCGCTCCTTTTCCGAGTGGTGCTGACCCGTGGGTTTGTTTTACCATGGTACTCGGTCTTCATCGTCTTACTTACATAATATTTAGTTCATTTTTACTCTTGCACAAAATAAGCAACAAAAAGAAAGATTGCTAAAAAACAAACCAACCAAAAGAAACCCTTCTTACACCACCTACCCCCCTTTCTCAAAAGGAAACAAAAACCCTTTTGAATTAGCCTTACGGCGTCTAAAGTCTGAGATCAGCCCCTGTTTGGACATCAGAAGAGAATGATTTGCTTTCTTCACTTTGACCAGTCCTGCCCAAGATGGCCACCTGTGTTATACGGCCACTTTTCTCCTTGACAATGGGTGGTAGTTTTAAACAGGTTTGACTGTATAGTCAAGCACACACATAGCGAACATGCACACAGTGAAACATGAACAGATTTGAACATGAACATCCTGAATGTCTTCTTACAAGTACAATCTTTCTATTTGAAACACACACACAAAGCAAAATTCGTACATAAAAAAAAGATTTCCACATCCACTTGATTTCGTTATGTGCATGCTAGATTGTAATTGTTACATCCAAATGATTTTTAAAAAACAGACAAGTTCCTGAGGTTGGATGAAAAAACAAAATCAGTACGGTACACATCTCACACTGCCAAAACCTCAAAAATGGCATCGTTAGGATCATCAATACTGATAGAATTTCTGAAGCAAAACAAAACTTGGTCTCCTGTAAATTCAATTGAAAGTGTTTAAAACATGGGGAAAAAAAGATTGCCCTGACATATCAAACACAAAAAAAATAAAAATTTTATGATCAACACAAAAAAGTTTATAAAATAATGTATACTACGACAAGCAGCACCAGTAAATGATCTGTTCCCAACACAAGACAGGACAGATTTTGCTCAATATTTAGTCCCAATATTTGGCAATATCTATCGTGACTGTTTTGACAAAAACTCTCTAATGTAAGAATTTACTTTTTCGGGTTCATCCATATGGACAAAGTGACATGCATCTTTGATGTACTTAATGTCCATATTGTAAGCAAAATCTTTAGTCTTTTCTGCGAGCCCATTTTCCAAGGAAAAATCACGACAACCCCAAATCAGCAGCACAGGCTTGGTAACTTTTTGGCCATATCTAGATGAAGGAGGATGCAAGAGATTGGCTCTGATGTAGTTGATTGATGGCGTCATTGAGCCTAAAATAGGAAAAACAAAGAAAAGTTTAATTACAACATATATAGATGGGTACAGGGTATGATACAGTATGTGTTTCAAATTCTGGACCCCAAAAGTGAGAGAATGATAGTTAGTAGACAGCCTGCTAGACCCCTTGATTTGTCAAGACAGCCTTAACTTAAATCATGCAAAAAAAAAGTTAGAGACTTTGCCCAAAACCCTTGTAAAATTGTATTTCTTCTGTTTTCTTGCTTTCTAAAAGACCCTGAACAGTTCATAAAACTACCTTGTTTAAGAAGATTAGGAGACAGAGTGTACCAAAAGATGTGGAAACTCACACCATTATATGCTACCTGAGAACTGATTTATATACCACTTCACTTTTTCTGATGTAGCTTTTCCAGTATGGTTTTAGCCATCATATGAGATACGTTTACAGCGCTCTGGGCGGCAGATATTTTAGACATATATATATCTAATAATATATGAGATATGTCAACAGCGTGGTCAAGGAGTTAATAGTGTTGATTTTTTGTTAAGTTATCACAACATTGTTTTTGGTCCTGATATGCACAATGACATATCTCAAGGGATATTATTTTTCAATAAAAAGTGAGGTATCGTGTTGAAACCAGGAGCTCGTCAAAATAATGCAATCGGAAAAAGAAAGCGTTTTCAAACCAATTTGGCAATTTCTATTGAATTTCTGTTTTTTCGGTCTACACTTTTTATGTGCATACAGAACATGACTATAGTGGCACCCGCTATAGAGGGAACCAACCCTACAGCGGGACCTTACTGGAATCCCCTTTTCCTTTCCTATGCAAACTCAATTACCTACGCTTGGATATAGCAGGGCAAGGAAAGTCCCGAACTCGGATACAGCGGGAGAGATTGAGCAAGCTCTAACTGAGGGGGGGGGGGGGGGGGGGGGGAGGCTCTAGGCAGGCTCCAAATGGGCAATCAGCAGTGCGACGTTGTGATCGGCTAGTCCAGTGATGAGTGAGGTGGGACAGGTGGCAGAGAGGGATGGTGCGGCAAGACGCGTTTCGTGAGCCACTCCAAAATTTAAAATGATGTACCACAGCCTAGACGCTCAGTACCTTATAAGAGCGTATAGGCCATAGCCCTAGGATAGATCAAAAAGTAAAAGAAGAGGAGAGCATGTAGTGTGTGATTCCTGATTCATTGAATTGCGATCTTTGTTGCTCAGGCATACGTCTGCATCCACTTCACCAGTTCCACCATAGGCCTACCAGTACGATAGACAGCACAAACAACAAACCGAGGAAAAGATGTCCTCCAACAAAGACTAAAGGAAATGCTTCTCACTCGAATTAAAGGCCGAGATAATCAACGAAGTTGACAAGAAAAGGAAGACTAATATCTAAAGCGCAAATTTTATTGACATGGAAGTGATGTAATAATGTGGATTTTTATAAATTTTTCTGTAATTTCCTCTTTGCATTCCTACAGTGGGAACTTGCCTACAGCAGGATTTTTCTTCTGGAACAAAAAGTCCCGCTATAGCCATGTTCTACTGTACAAAAACACATTTCCGTGTTAATTTTATTGAAAAACGTCGATTAAAGTCACAAAATGTGTCATTTTCCAGTTTTCAAGGACTCTCAAGTTACTAAACTTAGACGGCCTTTTTTTCGCTATTTTTATCACTGAAACCAGGCGACCCTACCCCCTTCAATTGTAAATATCTCGACTTCTATTCAAGATAAATGTGAAATTTTTCACTGAAAGTAAGACATAATATATAAGCTTTCGGATTTAATACTGATAACTCCACATGCCAGAAAATTGACGAGCACCTGATTCCACTGCATCGTGAAACATATTATATTGTACCAAACATAGGCTAGTTTTAGATTTAAAACAACTTTCAAGATACTCTTAAAACCTTTTTCATTGAGTGATCAAATCAAATATGCAGAAAATATGTTTTCAGACTATACTGCTTCAATATATCAGAGTAAGCTTCCTCTCTACTATCTCACAAGGTCAGTTCATGCTTTACAGGGCACAGTTTTGGGTCCCCAGGGACAAAGAACAGCATTACATTTAGTGGTCACTTGCCCATAATCAGACCCAGACCTGGTTTGCAGATTTAGTGGTCAGTCGCCCATAATCAGACCTGGTTTGTAAATACTATGAACTATCTCTCTGAAAGGAAAAGATTTCTTTGTATGGAAAGAATATAGCTGAATGTAAATCTGCTATTAGTTTTACAAAATGCATCTACTAATACAACCTAAGACGAATAGTGTTCATCACCATAGTCCTCGCACTTCGCAAGGCATGACGAACACCATACGTCACAGCAGCATCTTTGCAACTTCACTGTATTAGAAAATATGACAAACATTGTAGGCCTACATCATAGAGGTGACAGGGGTTAATTAGATCTACAAACACCACAAATCATTAAAAAAATATGTGTAAACATCAATAGAGAGATAAATGCTCTTGCAAAATATTATGTTTAGGTTCTTAAATTAATCTTAGTTTGGGGGAGGGGTGGAAAAATGATCTTGCAGAACCACTAAAATGAGGTCATCTTTAAACTTTGGAATATATGCGATAAAATGAGATTATTTTTTATTAACCCTCATCCTGCAGGAGCCTGGTTTATGTCGCCCGATAAGCCTATTTCGGCACCTCGCCTACATTCTGGTCCCGAATCAGTGTAGCCCCTGGCTCAGCGCACGCGCAGCGCGCATCCTCTTCCATGTCATTCGGGTCCCGAGTCGGATCCCCATTCACGCAGGTCAAGTGTGTGTGCGTCAGTCTGCTTGAGTTTGGGTGCGTTTGTGGCCTTCTTCTAGAACCACCTGCGTTGGTTCGTAATCGAGGCATACGTCTCATTCAAAACATGTCAAGTTGGTAGCTTCAGATGTTCGTCCAATGAAATTATAGAAGAAATTGACCCACTCAGACATGAGGAGCTCGAAAGGATAGTCAGGAAACAAGAATTCCATTTTTCTATACAAAATATTTCAAATGACCTTGTTTTTGTATGAAATGATACAACCTGATAAAAAATAAGCTTGTTTGATAGTTTTGAACATCATTGTGCAGGTACAAAGAACAATTTGAGGGTAAAACATTCGGAAATTGACCTATATTATCCCCTTTCGAACCTCAGGTCATTCATAACAACAAGAGCGTCCAGAAAGGTTATTCGAATGGGCGTAACTACCCGTTATGTCTTATCAGCTTGTGAGAAGGGGTTATTCATGTGTTTGTAACACTTTATAAATAGAAAGCTATGAAAGATAGAGTGTTATTTTCATCATCGGTTGACACACTCCCGCGGTATTCATGGCGAAAATACACATTTCACGGTGCGCGCGCTGTACACCAATAGTACGCACTGAGTGACCTCGGCGGCCTGCCTGGCACGTCCGACGTAATCCGTTGCTGATGAGATACGCATCTGGGCAAAGACGCAGGATAAGAGTTAAAATCCTTAAACATGATTAGAGAGTTAAGAACAGTTTTACAGGATAGAAAGAGGAAAGGAAAAAATAAATATAATTTACTCACTTATGTTTGGAAATATATACTTGACGGCATCAACATACTCTTGTGTCATGGCTCCTGTATGAACCCCTGCAGTTTTACCAAGGAAGATACGGTCCAAGAACCCATAGTCATTTAAACCGATGTAAATTTCTGGTAAGATTGGCAGCAAAAAGAAGAAAAAATACCTGTGATAAGACAAAAAAGTACAAGCTTTGAATGATTGACATGTAAATAATAACAATTGATTTCACTTGCTGTTCAATTAATTAAACTCAACCATACTTAAGTGATGTCAATAGTGTGTTTCAGTTTGATTGTTCAAATATTTAAAGTCTGTCAGTCTAAACATTTCACTTCTTTCAAAGAAAAGGGCTGGCAAAAAAAATGTGTACTGCCAACTCTGTAGGAATGCTTTATCGATTCTTAATAGCCAAGATATAAGGTCCAGCAACTAGGCTACTCGTCCAGGCAAAAAAACCAGAAGGCCTACCTGCCTCTGGGGGCAGGTAAAAGGTTTTGACCAACTGTGGAGAAAGTTTAAATTGTAAATTTTCATGCCTACAGCAACACAATTTAGATCATTTAGGGGGCTGGCTACTTGGACCCTGCCTATCAGGGCCAACGCTGGCAGAGAAGGACACAACATATCACAGACAGAGCTACTCACTTAAGAACCTCCCCACTCGGAATCGATCTCACATCTTCGCCACAATCGCAAAGAGCTTAACGGCTACATCACAAATGTCACTGCTCTGGAGAACTATGAATCTTCAAATTTGAAAAAAGGCAACCTTATAAATCATTTACTGTACAAAGCACAAGATATGTTTATAATAATGTAGGTGTTATTTTTCCCCATCAACACAAATTACATCATTTAGGAGGCAGGCTTCTGACCCTGCCTCTCGGGGCCAACCTGAGCTGAGATGGTTACAACATCGCAACATAAAGGCTGAAATATTTGATAAAAATTCAACCCACTCGGGAATCGAACCCAGGTCTCCTGTGTATGACAGCAAATGCCTAACCTCTACACAACAGATGCTCGAACAAGATGACTACACAAAGTCAATTAAAGAAGAGACAACCATGATAATTTCAGAAACTACTTCCTTAAAAAAATTACTCACGAATTTATACATTTTCATTCACTTTTTAATGATGACTCATTGTGGTCAGTTCTACTCACCAGGATTTTTTAAACTGAGCCCAGTGTGTGCGAACATAATTCCTGAAACAATGGAAATGAGGAGAGTTGCAAACGACTATCTTCTCAACCATATCAGGATAACAGCCAGCAAAGGCCCAGGTGACAGCTCCTCCCCAGTCATGGCCTATCAGTACACACTTGCTGTATCCTGAGGAACAAGCATTTACCACCATCAACAATGCACAGGGCTTTGGCACAGTTTTTCAGACTGCTTCTAATAAAAGCCACATTGTAATTTCTTTAAAGTATCACATGAATGAGCCTCCAAAGACAACTTCAGACATGAATCTTGATGTTATCGATCCAGAACTCACATCAATAAAACATTTAAAAGTCAGCAGGTCTACTGACAAATATGCTGCATTTGTGCCATTGGAGTGGATTGTCTACTCATTAAATGTTAGGGGTACAAAATAATTTGTAGGAAAAAATAGCAAAAAAGATAATAGTATACCACAAAATGTCTCCCTCCCTACAGAGATACAAAAAGCACCTTTGGCAATCTACCTGCAACAGTACACATGTCACCATCAGCACTGATGTGAAAACTTTCTGTTTTTTATTTTCTAAAACCGGAGTTATTTCAAAATAATTTGTACTCCTCTTAATATGCAAGACATTTCAATCCCTAAAAAGAGTATCCTACTTAATCCTACATTCAATAACACAAGTGTAGCCAATCACGATATAGAGGATGGGCCTTTCTTTAATATAAGGAGGAATAACCCTTTTAGAAGGATAAAAATGTTGCTTACAAAAATCAGAAAGACACTGTAGAATACAGTCAAACCTGATCAAGACAATAATCTGTACAAACAACTGCTTCCGATTTACCCTCTTGCATTAAAAAATATAACATGACACATTCCTGGATGCCCACATGTATCTAAGATTAAGACAACCACTTTTCTCCTTGACAATAGGTGGCTCACTGTCTAGAACAATTTCGACTGTTATAGATGATATACTAAAGAAAGAAGTATGCAATGTGGAAATGTCATACAAGTTTTAAAACTGCCTTCTAAGTTATTGCTATTCTTAACATCTTTGCCTTCATTAGAAACAGAAAGTTATGCCTCTTGCCATCCACACCATGCGCGTCCCCCAGCATGATTGTACACGTGACGAGCCAGTCATGCAGTGCCATCAGCATCCCTCCCCATCACCCCTTCCTCCACCCTCTCGTGGAGACACAAGGACCACGTTTTGGCTGTAACAGTAACAAAGAAACACCTACCCGCAGCCAGAAAGGCTGTGAAGCCGGGTCTTTAGTTGGGAATGCGAAGTGGATTTGTTCAAGATTCGAATGTTGCGTGTTCGGGAACTCCATGAAGTTAAAACAAAGAAAACATAAGGACTGAAACGGGACCGAGCATTAGGTTCAAGATACCCGAGAATTCGTGATTTTCATGTTCGAGATTTGTGGACTTTGTTGTATCCACATGAAGGGTTTTAAGGTGGAAAGTCAGCTTCATAGGCAAGTGGCAAATCTCTCCTCATAGCTAAAACATTTGAGCTTGGTTTTCGAGGTGGTATTTTTATCAAAGTAATCAAAATCTTGAATACCTGTACGTTCGAACCTGCTTTAACAATCACCTGTGCAACACGATCATTTGTACAAAAAAACACTCTCCACTTCCTGTCTTGTATATTTTTTCTATATTTTAATGACACTGTCCCCTTGACGTGTAACGGCAACAGAGGATGAAAAAAAAAAGAAAGAAAAATGTCCAAGAAGACAAGTTTGGCTGTATTTCAGATTCAGTATACAGAACAGAAAAGTCAACTACATATTTAGGAATCACAAAATCGAGTACAAAAATAAAAAGTTTGTTTCATGGTTGGACGGGTTCTTTAAAAACATACCAAGAGCTGTGATAATCTGTTTGACATCTTTAACCATTCTCTCCAGCTGGTATTCTTTGATACCTGACGGTCTGCTTGAGTCGCCACAACCTCTTTGATCTATAGCCACTACCCTGAGAGACAAGAAATAAAAAGAAAAGATATCACTGTTTTCCTCTTCACTTGCAAACTTCATTCTAAAAAATTTTAATTTTTCTTTTATATTAATTGGCGGGTATAAATGTTAACATGATCATGATTTTAAAATGTTACATTGGAACATCAATTTTGCTATAAAAATAACATTAATACACTTGCAAAATATGTCCTGTACAATATATATTTCCCTTGAAAGTCTGATTGGGCTTTTGATAATAGACTGCTTCATGGTCGCCCAAAATTTATCAACTTTATTGCAACCTTTGAGTGCAAAAGCACATTGAGTGTCAACACATCTTGTTCCCCAATGCATGGCAGATATATTAACATTACAGTCAAAACATAATTCCCTGAGCCCTAAGTCAATTTTTTTCAAGTTTAGCATTGTAAAAATGCCTGTTACTTGTTTAGTACCCTCAATGTAACAGAATTTTGTTACGTGTAGTAAAAATTTACACTACAGTTCATTTTTCAAATCACAAATGATGACTTGGACAATTTGTGTTGTGACCATAGTGCTATTTATTTACACTATCATCTTACCAAGGCAGTATTTCTAACTACTACCAAGATACTCATAGAAAATGCTGTACCAGGTACAACACTGCATAGATGGTTCTACCTCCAGAAAGGACATTTCTGTTTTATTGTACAATTGTACAAACAATTTATTAATCATAGATCAATTCAGTTACCTGTATTTGTCTGAAAATTCTCTCAGCTGATATCTGTAAGAGTACCAGTTCTCAAGCACACCATGGACAAGGAGCATCAAAGGTTTGTCAGGAGAGCCACTGCTAACATAATGAAGTCGAACCTCCTGAAAGACAAGACAAAGAACAACTAAGATCATTGCATTCCTGAAGCAAAGACTTCTGCGACTACATCATGTATTAAAATCAATGTCATTCTTGTAGTACCGGTATCACACACATACATTGTACAGTGGAATCCTATTATAACGAGAGGGAGGGGACCGGTGCGAAATGTCCATTGTAGCAGGATTCTCGTAGTAAGGGATTCAGTAATAAATTCAAGGGAAATAGAAAGTAGGCCTAATCTATGAGTTTGGAGTACTGTTTATAGGCCTACCTTTCTGTATTTCCCCTGATGATGATTTTGTTCAACATTATCTCTTAGTCTTACTTGATCAAAAATCGAATCAGGTTTCTTTCTCTAGCACTAGCAATGTTGACAGTTCGGCGTTGACACTCAGATAAAAGGGGCTCTGGCTCTGGGCTAACTCGCCCACTGTGTCGTCCCCCACCCCACCACACCCTGTGATGCGTTGTGCCTGCTTGCGCACGTCACACATTCACTCCATCTATCAAAGCATTGTGACCTCTCTATCCCGCACCAGAGAAGTGAGAGGCATGGTAGGCCTAGATAATCTAGACTAGGCTGGCCTATCACGCGATGCGTTCTACTTGTCTGCGCTTGCCACACCCTCCCTACTCATTCGCTTCGACCTTCATTTTTGGTTCACATGGGCTCCCCCATTCTTTGTTTCGCTGGATCACCAACAAGTTTCTCAACTGGCCAGGTTTTATATTATGTTTAATTGTTCTGTGCGTTGTGCACAGCAGTAGCAATATTCCATTACAAAACCGACTCGCGTGACTGTCTGATTGCGCAATAGCAGTATTTTATTTACAAAGATAAAGAAGAGAAAGAAACGGGGTTTTAGAATAGTGTCTTTATAACAGACTTCTCGTTATTTGAGGACTCATTATAAGTGGACTCCACTGTACATGCATGCACTCACACACACACATGAATAATGTGTCACGATGCGGTGGAATCAGTCATTTGTCAATTTTTGGGTATAGATTAGTATCATCTAAAGCTTGTTCATTCGTCTTGATTGTGGTGAATAAAATACCCATCTACCTTGAATAGGTTATTTGCAATTGAAGGAGGTGGGAGTAATTTTAACCTGATGTCAGAGGTAAAATTAGCGAGAAAATGGCCGTTAGAGTTTAGTGACTTCCAAAGCTTGAGTGTCCTTGGAAACTGCAAATTTACCTTTTTTTGTACCTTTTATCAACATATTTCAGTAAAATCCACATAGAATGTGTTTTTAAAAGGACATGAAAGGTGTTGAGCTAAAAAATAATTTAAAAATTGCCCAATGGCCAGAAAAATGCGTATTTCTTTTATGGACGAGCACCTGATTTCACCACGATGCCTCACACATACATGTCTGCAGTAACAGTCATCATAAACACTGAATTCACCACAGCACTCACTTGCTTCTTGTGGTTATGTCATGATGGGTTCCCTTTCCCCTGCTCCACGAATTCCATGTATGTTATAATATTCCTTCACAATTCCAAAACATAGGCAATTTAAAACTTTTATGGCCTTGGCTTGGTGAATAATGTTTATGCCTGAATTCTATGGATGTCTCTTGTTTTCTGAGTCATCACATGATTCATCCCCAATGACAATGCTTCACAGAAATCCTTCCTGTACGTAACAGATCAAAAGACCCTATCAGAGATTCACTTTCTGTTCTTTCATTTCTGATGTAAACATGCAAGAAACCTAACCTGCACACAATTTCTTATACATGTGGCCCATAACATTAGAAATAATGTAGTGCATCCCTTCTAAAGTAACTCCAATAATGACGGCAATGTCTCTCGGTTTTACATGTCGATTCGTTCTAATTATATCTTCTATTCTCCACTGATCCCGTGCATCTGTCACTCTGATTGGTCAACCACAGTGGAGTTTATCTTGGAGACTTGCTTCAGATGCTTCATTGCCACTCTGATTTAAACCGTACTAACATCCAGACAACAAACCGTACCAGCATACACACAAAAAATGCATTAACATTGGAATCCTTCATTCCCCCAGGAAGATCAATGGGTATAGCACCCTCTGAGGTGAGATCTTCACTCACTGCTCACATTTTGATTGAAAATCTTTTAATGAGCTGTTGTTTTCAGACAATGTCAGATTGCACATTGATCCAATGTTTAAAGTAATATATGCAAGGGTATGAAGTAAATGATGTATTTTGCACTTTTATTTGAGTAGACACATACAAAGGTAAATTGTGTATAAATTTGATAGCATAATGTTGCTTAAATCAGAAAATATCTCACAAACGGCAAGACTTTTCAGTCAGCCCTTGTACTTTTCCACAGAAACGAAGGTTATTTTTTTAAAGAAAGGTGGGCAAACTTAACCCTTTGTACCACAAGCACTGGCAAAAGGGGAACAACACATCAAATTAATATAACACTACATTACGTTGTTTCAAAATGTAGTCTATAACTTTATAAAATGCTAAATCACCTGAATTGTTGGACCAAGTTCCTTACCTCAAGGTGAAGATAGCCATGAGTTCCAAAGGTGGGATCTGAAAAGCAAAGTGGTTCTGTTTCCCTCCTCTTTTTATGAAGCATTTTTCTTGGACCTTTAGTCACAAGCAAAACACCAACACGCACGATGGTCAGAAATGCTGTTGCAAATGCCAGTCCATAGATAATCAGTAAATACAATCCTCGTTGTATTCGTTTTACACCCATTTTGAGGCAACCTAAAAGAAGCAACAATAAGCAATAAGATGAATTATATGAATATTTTTTCTCCATTAAACGTTTGCACAAATCCATACATTACATTTAAGTAAAGCGGAAAACTGATCATTGTTGTATTTAGCCTGCTGTAATGGTACACTTAGAGAGTGAATGAGCCAGCACAAAGGGATAAAATTCAAGGAAGGTCCTGGAATTACTATTATTTGTTTCTATACTTTCTTAGAATATTGTTCATGTCAGTCCAGAATCCTGACAGACTAGCATGTTGAATTCTCACTTTTGACTTCATACCAACTTCAAGTCAAGAAATATTAAACTAGACAGGATTTCAAAAATTGAAATAATTGATTAAAAGCAAATGAACGAAACAGCTTTGAGAGCAACTTGAAAAGCCTTTAGGTTCATTTCATGTCTAAATACATAAATACAGTAGTCACCACCTAAGATCCCACCGCTTACGATCTCAGCTCGCTTAAGATCCCGCTGTTTTAAGAAAACAGAATTTTTCCTATATATAAAAGTCACCCTTAAGATTCCACTCTGATTCACTCTGAATTAAGGTCTACATTCGGCTAAAACCCAAGATTTCAGATCACAATTTAGGGAACAAAAACCCGGGCAGGCACAGCCAATCAGCCAAGAATGATAATTTGCAATCATTGAAGTGCCCGTTGCGTCACAGATCAACCACTCTCATATGTGATCACATGTGCGTTATAAGTCATGATGAAACGTACAATGTTTTATCCTGGGACTCACTGAAACGTTTGTTTTCTCCTAGCATCGCACTTGCATCTCAGCTCTTCTACCTAAACTTACATAACACCTGGGTGGGTAGGGCCTACAAGTTCGCTCCTGGCTGGATAACACTGAACTGTGAACTCATCCCTGCCCATTGCAGCAGTTGTCTCTACTCTCGAATTTGCCAGATAGACTGAATTTGAATTTATATGGGTGTTCTCCTGTAGGCCATGGTGTGGTCACAACGTAACGGTGCATAACAACAAAGTTGGGGGGAACTCGGTCAGCAAGAGGGAAAACTATAAATTTTGGACAAGTAAAGGGGAGGGGCAACTGGATACGCGTAGATCTTGAGACTCACGATAGGATAATGTAAAGTTACCTGGCGGTCTTGGTCTTTCAGGGGGCCCCCGTCCAGGATCGATGTTGTTGTTCTCTCGTCCTGTGCTCAACTGACTCTCACTGGGTGTCTATCAGACGACGCCGGCCCAATTCAAGCTTCTCAATGTCACGTGATCCAAGAGTGCGCCACTCCCTTAATTATACTGTCCCATAATAATAATACGAATCATGTCCCCTGACCTCACAGGATAATAAGTGAAAATGGCATGTTTCAATCCACTGTGATTGGTCATCAAGGTTGATATATCACTCTTTTCTCCCCATAAGTCGTAAACCCTCCCAGGTGTCATGCCAGTTCATTTTAGAGTGAGCTTTTAAGGAGACCATTTTAAACCGATTGTGGACATAAACATAGGTCATCGTGGATTCTTCCCTTGGTGCGTCAGCTAAGATCCCGTTCGTCTAAGATCCTGCATTTTCATTCCTCCCGAGCACCGGCGGGATCTTAAGCAGAGACTACCGTACCAGTGCAGTCAAAATTATCATTTACATATATATATATATATATATATATATAATATAAATATTATTTCTCGAGGAGAAAAGTGGTTGTCTTTGACAGGACAGAAGAAAATGAAGGAAAAACGCACATTGTCTTTTGAAGTCCCAAACGAAGATGATCCCAGGATTGCCAAAAGGCCAACTGCAATTTTTGGGTTTTTTCTTATGGAGGGAGAGCAGAATTAAGGGAGATGTGTGCGTGTGTATGTGTGTGTGAGTGTGTGTGTGTGCATGTGTATGTGTGTGTGTGTGTTAGTACATGTGTTTGTTTGTTTGTTTGTGTTTTTGTGTGTGTGTGTGTGTGTGATGCAGATACACACATAATTTTAGCATACACACACATGCAGTGTTCTATCGTTGTCCATTGTTATCTTTCTACTCTTCAAAATACCATGATCAGCTCTTTATCACTCACAATCAGTGCAAAATGTGACCAAGTGACGGGTAGTATAAGTGTTTCCTTTCACTTTTTTCCCCTGTGGCCTACATGGTACAGCTATCATGAACATCTGAGCAATTACATTGCTGTAGATGATCTAACACATTACATGGAAATTGATCCACTCAAATCATCATAAAAGTAAAGAAAACTTCTGGGAACTTTTATTAAGATTTTGAGCAAAAGGTTGTGTTGCATCCCTATGTCAGCGTATGGAAATCTTTCTTCCACTTATCCCTCAACCTAAACTTACCTTTGCCCAAGATTTAATTAATAAACCCTTGCCTTATAGAATCTAGAATATCTATGTCTACCAAACAACATGATACATTTCTAGCGACTCCACTGCCGATTTGCCGACTCCAATTCAAACGTCGGATCGTCATGACCATGGTGACAATAGTCAATAAATAGACGCTTGTTATAATCTGCACAGTCTCCTTATATATCGACAAACAGTTTTCAGAATAAGATCTAGACAAAATACTTACTGTGTCAACAAATCTAAGAGAGGATTTCTCCTCACAAACATCGACCTCACAGCACACCCACCCTTCCGTGTTCACATCAGCAACCTGTGTCCCGTGTGTTTTCCTACGTTACCCTTTGCCCTTTGCCCTTTGCACTTTGCCCTTCGCCTCTCAAAGGTTACCGTTGGCGAGGCCCCAACGCCACTCAGAGGGATCCACTTGCAAAACCCAGTAAGTCAAGGCAGTCTCCTTATAATTAAGAACATATCCATATTTTACAATAGGCCTAAAGAAAACATTATGCCTTGCAAACTTACAGAAGCATTCCAGCAGTAGGCTAAGGGGATAAGAGAGAGTGAGAGTGAGAGTGAGAGTGAGAGAGAGAGAGAGAGAGAAAGAGAGAGAGAGAGAGAGG